TAATTAAATTTAGTATATCTCAGACTTTCTCTTTTATCAATATGTAGGTCTGGTGGGCTATCAAAACCCCAATGTTTTCTTCTGTGTTTTTCAAGTAATATTTTATTTGTCTAAAAGGTAGAATCACTGTATTTGGAACTGTAAATTATTTGAGCTGAGAGATTGATCTTTTCCTCTTCTTTATAGCTACCTAGGAGGCCAATATAGTGCCCAAACCTTGATAAATATTTTAGAATGATTCTCAACTACTGTATTCATCAGTGTAAAGATACTTTCCCCTGTTAGTAGCTGAACTCCTTTTAAATCAGCAGTGAGTTTTTGAAAAATGCAATGTAGGGAATCTCATGAAAATGTCTGTATGATAAATTACAAGTTGATATTTTGGGAGAACAAGAAGAGGATAGAAAAAATATCAGAAACTAGAAACAATAACAAGGGGACATTTAAAATCACTTTAAATAATGACATAAATAGATATACTCTACTCATAGGGAAATATGTCATATTTATAAGTAGTTTATTATTTTCATTATAATATACAACTATAAAATCAGAGAAGAGAAATAACTGAGTTCTCACCTAACTAACAATATAATAATATCCATGCCATTCTTTATATATTTATAATATGTAATAAAACATGCAGTGTATAAACATATAATATATACAGATAATTTATAGGACATATGCATACATGGATTTTCTAAAATGTTTCTTTTCAAATCTTTACATGGCAAATGTTTTAATATCTTTTAAATATCTATTTTCATCAAGGCATTGTGGTGCAATCTTGTAATCCCAACATTTTGGGAATCTGAGGCAGAAAGATCACAAATTTGCAGTCAGCCAGGGTAATTTAGTGACTTACCTGTCTCAAAATAAAATCTAAAAAAAGGAGGGCATGCTAACAATGAAGCTGAGTTTGAAAACTCTAGATTAAAAACTGAAGTTACTCACCAATCTGTTTTCTCTTACTTTTGCAAAAAAATGTCAACCCTTGGCACTATTGACATGTGTGTTTGTGTTTGTGCGTGTGCGTGTGCGTGTGTGTGTGTGTATGTGTGTGTGTGTCTGCGCGCGCATTTGTGTCTGCGTGTGTGTGTGTGTGTGTGTGTGTGTGTGTGTGTGTGTGTAGTCACTCTACAAGACAAGCAAATAATTGGCACTGGTTTGGAGATTCTTCCTGTTATTCCGCTTTATGGGAAATGCTCTGATTCAGAGAGCATTTAGCAGTTGTTTCTTTTTATAAAGTACTGGTTACCCTTTGTGGCAGTATGTACTTTAGTTTGCCCTTTGAGCATAAATGAGTCAGGAAGTTAAGAAAGAGGAGACTTTGTTTATTCAGCAAACCTAAAGGTTATCAAGATCATTAAGGAAAATAGGAGATAAGAACCCTGTTGATCTATTACACTCCAGTTCTCAGTACTCTGATAGGATTTATCTGCCTTAAAAAAAAAAAAAAAAAAAAAAAAAAGACTCAGCTATTCTACCAGAACAAGTACTGGGAAAAGAAAGTGGCCATTTTCTCTAAAGAATTAGTTCTCCTTTACTTTAATAAAAAAGTCAATCTCATAACAGCGGTAGAAATCATTGTTAATGTACTAAAAATAGATTCAGCCTTCTTACTCCAAGAACACAAATTATGTTTATTACAATTTTCTTGATTTCTACTGTATATCCCTCCTCTCAAAAATTTATGCTGAATAAAATAAATTTTAAAGCATACATTTTCATGTGGATGGAGGATATGTAATTCCCACACTTGTGAAATATGAATTATTAAATGCAATATATAATTCAAAACTAAGCGAACACATTTTTCAAACAAAGATGTTTTATGCCTGAGGATGAGCTAATCTCACTTTTTTTTCAGTTCAGTGAAGGAAAATTCCAGGTTTGTACTTCCGCTGCCTCAAATACTATTCTTTATTCATTAACTCAAATAAAATAAAAAAGTTCGGTCAACTTAAATAGGTAATAAATACATAAGGAGAAAAGAGATTCGATTAGAATTAAAATGATCTAGTGTGGAGCCAAAGATATGCTGAAACTTTGTGATTGAAGACAAGAAATGATAGATATTATGTAGTCTTATTTTATTCCAGTCATATTTAATTCTAGCCTTTTTGGTTCATATTTAAGTACTAACGTTTTTGGAGATCCAATTGACATAAGATAAAAAATAAAGAGGATAAAAAGGAGGAGGGAGGGGAGATGTTTAGGATTTATGCACGGGATAAAATAGCTTTCCTTCATTCCTTCTTCCAAAAAGAAAAAAAAAAAAAGTCCAAATAGTTATTTTCTATTTTGATATAAAATTCATTTAACATATCAAGATACTAAAGGCCTGGACTTGTTTTTAAGGTAATGTACTATTATATTGTCTTTCCCACTGACTACAGTTTTACAGCAGAGTTGACAGCAGCGATGTTGTGCATGAGAAGGTAGAAATTATGTAAGATATGCCTTTGAGAAACAGAGGAATAGCAATCATTTCTATATCCACAACACTAATAAGCTGGGCAGAGTTACCTCTATTACTCTGGTCCTCCGTGTTCCTATTGCTAAAATTCAAATATTGGCCAACATGAAGTACGATAGTGTTGTTGTCTCTCTTTTCTGGAGTTTTTGTTCCAATAAACTTAGGAAGAAGCTTGTCAGACAGTTAAGACTTTAAAATTTTACTTAGCGTAACATATATGAACAAAATCCCTTAAAATAGATATTTACTGTCTGACAAGTCAAGGAACCTGTAAATAATGGTGGAGGTTAATTTAGTGACCCAATAACAATGTCAGATTTTTTTTTTTCCTCTATGTCATTGATAGCTTGTCAACCACAGCTCAGCTCATGGTCCCAAAGTGGACTTGGCAATTATGGCTCTTATAACTACACATACCATTGTTTGTTTGTTTGTTTGTTTGTTTGTTTGTTTTTGTATCGGAAGTCAAACTCAGGACCTTTAGTTTGCCAGGCAGTTGCCATGCCTCTGAGCTATATCTTTGGCACATAATAATGTTTTTTTTTTAAAAAAAAAGGAAATGAAGGGAGAAAGAAAGAAAAAAGAGAGAGAAAGAGAAAGAAAAGAAAACAAAAGAACAAAACAGAACCAAAAAGAAAAGGAAAGAAAAAAAAAACACAGCAGCACTCCTCTGTAGCCTTTCTTTTAGAAGATGTTAAAAGGTTTCCTAAAAGTTTCCATCGACCTTTTCACATTTCATTGGCCACAGCCCAGGCATCTGCCTGTGACTGAAGATATAGTTGACAGGAGAAATAGAGAAAGGCAACAGTTTTTCTCAAGAAACACAGAACTACTCATGAATAAAATTAGGAACTGGTCATCTTGGAAAAATTAACAGGCATAGAAATGCAGATCAAAATTATGCCTGTGTAAAATGTTTCTTTGGTAAAAGAAACAAACGATTTCACAGGTGTGTAAATTCTGGGACTTTGAATAGTTACTCAAGTACCTTGTCATTTGCAAGATTTACTTAGTATGATTTAATCAAATAATAGAGTTAAGGCTTCTGATGTTTAAATAATTAATTTAATGTATGTGTGATATCATTACATCAAAGTGTCCTATTCACTTTAAACATGAAAAAAACTGCATATGGAGTAAAACTACTCCTGCTGAACTGTGAGCCCAAGCAGCAGCACAGGCATGCAGAGGGGCCATCTCACCCAGGGGAGACAGGGAACTGCTGTGGTCTTTCAGGCACTGTCTGTTTCCATGTATAGTAATGACGAAAAAAATAATATTTATTCTCAGGAGAAATAGATGAGAGGATAAATACAGAAATATTTTGGAGGTAACAAAGTCACAAAGGCCTTCATTCAAAAAACTCATTACAATGGTACCTTACTTTGCCACCTTAAGTTGTTTTATGGTTCAGGGGAACACAGCTGCATTTGTGTTTGTGTGGGGATGATGGTTGTGGTCCTGTTTGTCACCCCATACAGCATTTTCCAACAGAAGCAAAATTTTGTTGAATGCTTTTGTTTGTGAACCAAGTTGTTAATGCATTACTTATGTGTACCTTAGAGATATGACAATGGAATATGAGCATAATCCCTGCATTTTGGAACCAGTAAATGTATGATTGTTTCATAAGGATAGCTTAAGGATAGATAGTAGAAATGTAGATGTAGAAATGTAGACAGAAAAGCAAAAATCTCTGAGATCCATATAGCTCAAAAATATATTCATTTTATCTATATGTTTTAACTTTTAAGAAAATTTTGTATTAAATAACAGGAATTAAAATGAAAGGTAAGATGATTGGACCATATGAAAGAAAAAAAGTATCATTGTGGGCATGAAAATCATCTTGACCATAAGACACAACATCCTGAGTGCCCAATAATTTCAGGTGTGTGTTTTCTTTTTATCCCATTGAAATCATAGCACACTTCAGTATTTTACATTGAAGAGATTAGAGAAAAATAACATGCAGAGTTGCTATAAGCTTAGTATCAACCTTCTTAAACTATATAGAAAAAGGTAATTTGAGCAAGTAAGTAGATTTCTACTTAAAAGTCAACCAGAGAAATCATATATCCACAACTTTAATTTATTCAAGTCAAAAAATCAGAATAAATACCATAATGCCTGTCATGTGACTTTGTTTAATTTGACACAAATGTCTCGGGAGAACAATTTTCCTGTGGGTCAGAGATCTAAAGTGGAACTCAAAAAATTGAAATTCAATTTTGGAACTACTTTGTGCTTTGTGTTCTTGGAAAAACATTTAGTGCTTTATATCTTTATAATAGCTGTAAAATAAAGTTAATATTTGGTATATTGTACTTTACTCATTTTTGACTGTCTTTGAATCGCAAAAAAATGAACAAAGTTTCTTACAGAGCTATGTTACACTAGTGTAATGAGGATTAACAGGGTGATAGCTCAAGAGCTTCAAAGATATTTTCCATGAATTGAGCACAAATCACTTAAAAAAGCCTGACTTTTTCCTCTGGTATTATCTTTTGCTTTGCAGAAATGGCAGCATTATAGTCCTATTTGACCTTTTTTTTGCTCAGTGGGTGTCAGATGAAAATGTAAAAGAAGAACTGATTCAAGGCATTGAAGCAAATAAGTCCAGTGAACTGATGATTTTCCATATTGATTTGAACAGCGTTGATATCGCAGGTATCTCTGAACATTATTTGATTTCTTTGAATCATTAAGCTATGAAATTAAGATTCTAACAATATACCAGAGAAGCAGTAGGATCATCCTGGGCTTCAGGAGCATGTCTTATTGCCTGAGGTAGCACATTTATGTGAGAAAAAGTGGAATATGGAGAAACCATACCAGAAGAAAGTATATCAGTGAAAAAAATGTTTGTAAAATACCAAGTGTCAGAAAGATTCTGGAAATACCAGCATGCCTAGATGTTTTAGTCTTGCCACATGCTTTGCATTGGTCAAGGGCACCCTGACTTTGTAAGAAGCCTCTTCTTGAACATGCACTCATGAATGCAGAGGCTGGGGGACTTTAGAAAACTTACTGAAAATGGGGGCATATAATCTATTATCTCCTCCCTCAGGAGGCTGAGGCAGAAAGATTGCAAGAGTTTGAGGCTAGCCTGGACTACATAGAGAGTCGAAGGCTTGCATGAACTATGTAGTGAGACTCTGTCTCAAGAAAACTCATATCCAGAATAACATCAATATGTAATATCTGTACCAAATGGAATGGAAATAAACTCAGAATAACAATGTCAATGTCAATGGCATGGATATAGGTAAGATAAGTCAGTATAGGTTTTTCTTTTAAAACAAATATATAAAAACAGCAGAAACATTTTTTTTAAATTTTGTAATGGGGATGCAAAATTAAGAACTCTGGTTGCTTTTCTATATAGAATTGTTTCATCATGGTCAGTAGCAGGGTTTCCTTTCCTATGAGGTCTCCTGTGTAGTGAAGACAGCTAGGGGTCTTGGTCCATTCTCTACTGATGGCTTCCTTCCTTCTCTCACAGCCATTGGAGCAGAAGGTCTTTTAGAATCTTTGTGAAATGTGAATGAGTTTCAAATTATTAGATATTACTAACTGGAACAGTTAGTATTTACTCACCACCTCAGTCCTGTTACGTGAGGTTTTTATTACCAATATTTTATGAAGTAGAAATAAAAGCACTAATAGCTTTGTTGAATTGCCTAAAACTTCATGCTATTTATACTGAGATCAAGGCGATTTCATCTAGGTGATTTGACCCCCATGTCTCTATTCTTAAATATTATACTAAAGTTTGTTTGTATCTTTGAAAAGTGTTGACTAGCATTTTTCAGTAGTCATTCTTCTATAAAGTTTATTTCTTTTTACTATCTTTATTTTACTGTACTTTGGTTTCTGGAGGTCTGTTTTGGCAATTGACAGGAATGCTGAAATTTATTTTAATGATTCCCTACTGTTGGACTACTTTGAGAGGAGAGTTTATTGGTTTCAAAAATTATATATTTCTTCAGGAAAACCACATCCTTTGGGCTAACTTAGAATCAGTATTACCATAAACTTTATTACAATACCATAAACTTTATTACGATAAAACTTTATTACAATATTCACTCAATAATATTCTCATCAGGGCCAGTGCTGTAGCTCAGGAGCCCAGTATCTGTCTGGCATTTACAAGGTTTGAGCCCCAATACCCCCCGCAAAAAAGAATATCCTAAAAAATTGAAGTTAGAGGATATCTTTAACTTGATAAAACGCATTAAAATACATGTAGCAGCAAGCAAGCAAGCAAGCAAGCAAGCAAGCAAGAAAGAAAGAAAGAAAGGTACAAGTTGGATTTTATATAGAATGCCTTAAAATGAAATATTATAAAAATAAAATATATTTTTTAAAATTTCTATAGATCTCACTTTGCTATTCTCTGTAAACAATTTGCCACATATTATTTAGAAAACTATCATAGATCTTTTAGAAACAAGACAAAAATTAAGCAGTAGCGAAACCAACAACCTGGCTGGTAAAAAAATATTCTGTTTAATTTATGCATTATCAATACATTTTTGAATGAAGCCAAATTCATTAGATGAATGTTTTTCACGAGACATGCCTTAGTTTTCATTCCAGCTTGTATAATTGACTCATTGTGTTTTTAAAACTACTGAACATATTAAATACTGAAGAAAGTAGCCAGTTTTTATCCTTTCTGTGAAAAGTACTCTATACTGAGGCAGTGCTTAGCTCTCAGTAGATATTACTGTGTTGGATGAGTCATTTGTGATTAGGGTCTTCCATATGTTCACAGAAAACTACTTGTTCTAAGATGCCAAAATCTGGCATGTAATGATACATTAATTGATTTAGGTATAAGACATTTTGTATAACTAGAAATGAATAGAGACTTTCTTGGCAGTTAATACAAATAAAGAAAAAATTTTTGCATAAATAAATTGTATGAGCAGGTACTTGAAATTTAGCAGATGCATCACAATTTTCTAATGAATATGAATAAACGAGACAAGGCAAAACAGAACTTTTAAAACATCAAATTCCTCTTCTAAAAATAGACCCAGGAGAAAAGGTAACCTCTTTTAATAATGCTCCTGGATAAACTGGTTATCTATGTGCATGAGAATCAAGTTAGACCCATATTTCTTATTCTATAAAACTGGTTCAAATCAAAAAGTTTCAAAGACTTAAATAGAAAAACAAAAACAATAAAACCATTGGAAAATTAAATAGGGAAAACACTTGAAGATATAGGCATAGGCAAGAATTTCCAAATAGAACTTCAGTTGAATAAGAAATAACACCAAGCATGAATAATTCAAATTATATTAAATCAAAACTATCTGGATCACAAAGGAAACAACAGACTGAAGAGACAACTTCAGAAATGGAAAAATATATTTGGCAACTACTCTCTGAAAGAGGACTAGTATCTAGAGTAAAGATCTCAAAAAATTAGGTCTCAGAAATAAAGTAATCCAATCAAAATATGGGCTAATAAAATAAACATTAAAATAAGGACATATGGTTAAGAAGTATGTGAAAAAGTGGTCATCTCTTTAATCCTTAGGGAAATACAAATCAAAACAATTCTTAGACTCCTTTTAGTATTCATGAGCATTACCAAGAATACAAAAAGCAAAAATACTGAGGATGTGCAGGAAAAGAAACCTTTTTACGTTGTTTGTGTGAATGTAAACTCACACAGTATAACCTCTGTGGATTTGCTAAACAGTTAAAGACAACATACTGTAAAAACGTGTGCATATCCATTTTTATAACAGCACAATTCATAATAGCCAGACTATATAAGCAACCAAAATGCCAAACAGCATGTCAAAATCATTGTGAATTGGCTGAATCACATGCAAACATCCTCTGGATAAAGAAAGAGATGATGATTAAGGAGACAGCGAGCACAAAAGTATTCAATTCATTTTTTCTCCATTTAAACTACAATAGCGTCAGTATATGTATATCCTTGCCTTTCTCATTGTATATGAGCAACTGATATTTATCAAAATAAAGATCAAAAACAATATTAAAGTACAATCACTGAATATACATTAGTGAATCCATCCATTATCACATTCTACCTATTACTTGATTGGTGTTTCTCAAGCTACCTGGTCTCTTTGAACTTTTTATGTATTACTCGCACAATAAAGACAAAAACATATGCCTTAGAGGGTGATTGAAAATTGATAGAAGAATAATACACATACTACTCGAGGCAGTTAAGCTTAATTGGCAGCCCGATTGGCTTGGGAGTCCCCCAGGTAAGGCACACAGCTCAGTCTATCTGGGTGGGCCAGGGACATAGGACCTTGCAGACTATTTTGGTCCCTGTTCCTTCTTCTCTGTCAGTATTATCCTGCTCTGCTTCTTAGCCTCCAAAAAATGAGAAATTTTGCTCCATTACACACTTCTGCTCTGTTGTCTCTGTTTTGAATCAGTCAATCATGACTGAATCTGCTGAACCCTTCAGTCAAATGACTCTCATCCTTTAAATTGTTGGTGTCTGGTATTGTGTCCTCATGATAGGATAGCTGACCAGTACACTTTGGTTTAATGAGGGACACAAACAATATTAGATCTCTTCTCCCCTTCCACCACTGGCTCAGATGATTTTAATAATGATGATGATAATTATAAATATCAGATAATTTTTAAAAAGAATTTTTCAAAAATTTTAAAACAAGATGATTATATTTGGTAATGTTCATATAAAACTGGTCTGTTATTTAACAAAAAACACCTTCACTTTTACATATTTCTTCTTATTGGAAATTGTATTAAATTATCTTAATCAATTCCCAGAGAATTATTATAAGGTAAGTCAGTGGCAAAATATTGTATTCCCTTTTTACTAAATGCATGTACTACACGAGTCCTGAATCACAGTTCTCATTTATTCCTCTCATATGGCAAGATGCTATAGATTTATAGAGGGGAACGAGGCAATTAAACTTGAAAACTGCAGTTTCTGAGCAATAATTTATTATGAATATGCCTTTCAGGGATGTTAAGTTTATTCTCGTTTTTTATATGCCTGGAAGATAGAGTTTGAGAAAAATCAACAAATGCATGCATCATATACCTAGCATTAGTACTATTATAAATTCTGCCAAAGAGAACTTTTGTACAATAATGAGTATGAAGTCCATGAGGATTATGTTCTATTGTTCAACTGCCTGTGTTGCCAATTACGGCAGAGTTTTACTAACCCATTTGGAGCACTGGAGAACAGAGCTAGGCACCGAGGTGGCATTACTCAGATTGATTTCTTGGATGCTACAGAATGCCTGGAGGGGTTGTTTAGGGCAATTGCTCATATGCTTGAAGGTTTTCTAGACTACAGCTTGTTCTAGTGTTTTGTTGCTGACTGTGCAAGCAACCATTACAGAAAAAGAAAACTTTCACTGCCGTGGTCTTTTTTCAATCTCATACAAAATACAATTCTGCTACAATTCCACTATGTGAAAGAGATTGGGGACTGCAGGCAAACAGTAATTGGTTGATTTTGTGAAGAACATGGATTTAGGCCAAAAGAAGCTTAAAGGAAAATTCTGTCCCTCAATTTAATTGCTCCTGAGCTAGGATGCTGAAACTGTATTCTCTAAAACCTGGAATTTAAAGTATTTGTTTTTGCTTTTGAGAAAGCAATATTTATATATTACTAAACCCTAATTTAAGACATTCCTAGTCACATGATGTTATAACTATTAATCATTCACTGTAATTTAATTTGGATTGAAAAACCATAATGCTTCTGAAAGATTAGCTTTGTTCTATCAAAATAAGTGAAAATTTCTGCAAAGTGACATGTGTTTTCCAGTACACTCTAGCGAAATAAAATTGGTCTCTAAAGCAGATATTCTTGGATTCACTTCCACTTCCACTATCAAGTAAGCTATGAAGATCTTGGGCTAAATTTGTTGCAAATAGCTATGATTACCAAGGTCAGTACTATTATCCCCATTTAGATGATAAGGAAAATAAAAATCTATGACTTACAAAATATTATTTCCAAAGAAGGGTTTTAAAACTATAATTTTAATTTTTTTATCCTGTCTAGAGAATTTCTGGTGATTTGAAATTAAAATAAGGATTTCAGTCTCTATTCTTCCGTGCTTCTCAGCCCAAGGCCTATGCAAAGTCAGAACAGAAGGTTCCTCTTACCCCATCAGAGGAAGTTGATTAGACTTAAGATCACTCTTAAATTGGCACAGTTGAATGCATACTGACCCCTTTCTGATGCAAACAGAAATGGATAATTAAAACTTTCTAATTCAACATCTCCATAAAATATAAATTTTACTGGTATGTTTTCATAATAAGTACAAAACCAATATAATATCTTATAGTTATGAACAATTGCAAATCATTTTTTCTACTCAAATTAACATTAAATATCACACAGGCAATTTGATCAACTTCTAACAAACCAAACCGATTATTATTCCCTTCATCTGTATTTTATCACTAGAACTTATTATTTTCTTCTAAATTTTTAATGTCTGTACTTTGTTATTGACTTCTTAGGGAAAAATGGTAAAGTGAAAATCAAATAATTAAATGCAAACAAAGTAGTGCGAAGTCAAAGAATTCTCGTTCTAACAATGTAGTTTTTCTTAAAAAAATTATGTGATAAATTTCTTCAGTTGACAATTTCTTAGAAACTGTATCATGATTCTGTATATGTGTAGATGATAGAAAATAGACCAAAAGATGTGGTCAAACTATATGGCAAAATTTTGAATTAAAAATAATTATTGCAGTAAAAAAATATGTTGCTTTTAATCTCCCTCAAGATACTTCTGGCTTTACCTACACCTATACTACTGTTCTTGTCATTTTCTGGAATACTTCTGGAAGTCTTTTCTCATGAGATTCTTTTTTACAAGGTGTGATTTAAGAGATAACGGTGAATGCTCTGTCAAATGCAGTCAAGGGAAAGGCAGGTGCATAAAACATTACAGTTTTTCTACCCGTTTGACCCTGTGAGACTTCTGGCTTTTTAGCCAAATAAAAATGCTCATGAAAAGCCAATATTTGGATCCATTTATGATATACAGTCAACCTTGACAGGGAAACTAAGACACCTCAGAAATAAGACTTCCAGAACTTTTTTAGAAAGTAACAAAAATGAAGAGATAATTGTGTTCAAATCAATGGGGATTATTCTGTAAGGAATTAAGTATATCCATAGTTCCATTTTAATGTATAAATGAGAAATATCTTTCTTCATGGAATAAATCAGCTAAAGCATGTTTATAAAACAGCCTGCAGGGAAACAGTACTACCCAAGCAAGAGCACCTACTGGCTGCATATTTCACTCAACCGATTCAAGTTAGACTATTTTCTAATATCATTGTTTTTTCTTCTTAAACATAGTTGTGACTAATGACCACCAGCAATTCAACTTCTCACTCCTTAGTATTTCTGTTTCTGCCTCCTTTGAGCTTAATCGGGATTACATTTGGGTCAGTGATGTTCATCAGTTCTGTAAAATGGCACTCGGTTTCATGCCTCATCTCCTCGGCTGATGAGAGATTTCCTGCTCACATCAACCTGAAGCATGGAAATAGCTTCTCAGTTGGTCTCCTCTTTCCACCGCATTTTCCACATGACCCCAAAATTGACTTTGAAACACGGACTGGTGACAGCAAAAAAATACATGGAAACTTTCAGTATCATTGGGTATAGAAAGAAAGGCATTTCTAATATTTAGCAAAGATTACAAGGCTCCCTAAATCTTGATACCACATGCTTTTCTTGCTATGGCTTCCCAAACCACTTGCCAACTAACTAAATTAGACTCTTCAATTTCCACATATTCTACCTTCTGTTATGGTTTATATCCAGATGTCCTCCCAAGGACTCAGACACTCAGGGGCGGGTCTTTTGGAAGTTAACTTTCTGCTAGAAATTGGAGACCAGTGGAAATAGGTTACTGCAGTCATGACCCACCTGGAAGGTTTCATTCCCTCTTTAGCTCCTCCCTTCACTCTGATACCTGATTGCAATGATGGAAGGAGCTTTGCTTACGTCAGGCCCTTCTACCTACCGGGCCACTTGTGGAGAGGGTAGTCATGAGCATTAGGGGGCGTAAAGGATCCCAGGAAGTGTCCAATGTTGGTGAGTTTTGAAGTTCAGACTACAGTTCAACAGGTAACAGAAATGCAGGAGATCACTAGGTGAAGCTCCTGCTACAATCATTAGGACAACCTTATCTATCAATAATTGTAATGTGTGTTTGATTTTATTAAATAGCACTTTATTCTCTTTTATGGGACTATTCTGAGCTTCAACATGTTAGATGATTCTTGAATTTTCTGATCATTTACAGCCATTTTAGTGACATCCAGTTATGAAAGTCTGATTTAGCTGCACATATATTCAGTAATACCACCTATAAATTCTTAATCAATTATTATCTTAGTAGATTTCTTGATACGTATACTTTTACCTTCCCAATTAAATTTATGGAGCAAAAGAAATACCAGAATTTTATATTTTAATATGTTTAAAGCCCAGCAGATGGCAGTACAGTGCTGGTAAAAAGATTAACAACAGCACTGAATGTCACTCAGTTAAAGATTTCAAAAGCGTTAAATGATCCTTGTTATTCTAGTCAGGAAATTATTCAAGTTCAACATAGCACTGAAAAAGAAAAGCATACGTTTCTCATGGGCTTATAAATAATACTATCTTAGCATTGCACTTAAGGTTTTCAACTTTATTTCTAGAAATGTGTTTCTTGTTCTTATTTAAAACTTGTGCATCTTTATAGCAACACATGGCAGTGGAGGTGTCTAGGTGAAGGATGACAAATGCCAAGAACCTTAAATCGACGGATCCAGGCCACATGTGCCTGAAAACCTGGCAGGAATGTCTCTGTGTCCTATACTTTAAGAATTTTAAAGACTAAGGTGGGCATAGTGGCACAAATTGGTGATCCCAGGATTTGGGAGGCTGATGCAGGAGGATCACTTGAGTTTAAGGCCAGTGTGGGCTCATGATGTATAGTGAGTTCAAGGCCAGGCTGAACTACATAGGAAGGCTTTGTCTCAAAAAAGAAAAATCTCAAAATCAAGAACAAAAGGAAACAAAACCGAAGCCACTATATTTTTAAAGTGTGGCTACCAGATGCTAATCATGACACAGTAAGCCCAATAAATTGTCCCACATAAAAATCCAGAGAAGTGTAAAATAAGGGGGATTAAATGGTCTAAACCATAATATTAATTTTCTCAGACTAAAACATACAAAGAAAACATCATATTTAACATCTATGTAGAATTTTTTTTCAAAATTTGAATCTTGTATTTGAAAAACGATAGATTCATCAAAGATAATAAATATTTCTACTAGGAACTGAAAAAAGTACTTGTGAATAAGCACTTTAATAAAAAGTCTCAAATGTCCAAATCTTGTACCAATCTCATCAGTTGGAAACTAAGTCCACTGTGCAAGAAGCTTATCATTTAAATTTTGTTTTTAAGGCAACGCCTCGATTATGTGCCAACCTGGTTTGAGGCCTTGTGCTGATGGTCTGCAGTGTGTATCAACTGATTTATTTTGTGATGGAGAAATAAACTGTCCAGATGGCTCTGATGAAGACAGTAATATTTGTGGTAAGGTCCCACCTGGTTTCTGTCCCCTCTTCTTTTTCTCTTCCCTCACTGTACATGCACACACACACACGCTCACACATACACACACACACACTCACACACACACACACTCTCTCACTCACACACACACTCACACACACACACACACACAAGACTGATTTATTCCAATAGCTGTGTTTATAATATAATACAGAGGTCTTCAAATAATTATACTAATATTTTCTTAGAATTTACTATACAATATTGAACCTACTAATTTTGCAAAATTCCACTTGACATTTACGAATGGATGCTCCAAACAGTAAGGCCTATCATAATGTTTGTTTATCCTCTGTAATGAACTATTCTAAGCTCATCTGAACTTGTACCCTTACTTACACACTGTCACATGTTTCCACAGCTTTCCTTCGGGCACTTTCAGCATCATAAAATCAGGATTGTTTTTGGGGTTTGGTTTTTTTTGTTGTTTTATGGGGGGTTCTTTTTTGCTATTTTTATTACAACTACTTTAGTGAGGATCGCTCAGTTTTGTTACTTTGATTTGTTTCTTATAATTCCATGAATAACGCAAACAATCACGATGTGTTTTATTTATATTTTTGGCACTTTCTTGGAGTGTTGCTATTAGAAATTTAAATAGCATAAACTATGACTCTGCCTGATTAAATATCCTTTCTTTTTATTTCTTCATTTTATAATTGATTTCCATTAAGAAAGTTTACCAAAAAGCAGAGCCTAGCTGGACAATTTATTTTCATGCGTAACATATCTAAGTACATTACCACACAAGTGCCCACAGAGATGAGCAAGCAATGTGAAGAACCATTTGAATAGCTCTAGCCTATGATTTGATTTTGAAAAATCAGGCAGAAAGTATGAATTGAACATTGTTTTGGTAAGATTTCTAATAATTTCAAAATTGACCATTAAGAGCTGTAATTCCTGTTGCTTTCATCATTCTTCTATCATTCTTCACCCTTACCTCATCTTGCTTAATATTAATTGAAGATAAAGATTATAGAACTGAAGTTTAAAAAATACCTATTGATTTGAAGCATAGTTTGTAAGGCTGGCAGCCTGTCTCTTTGCCAGTAGCAACTCAACAAAAGACGGAACTACTGGAGAGATTTCCAGTCAGCAGTCTCCATTCAGATGTTCTTGGATAGAATTCAAAAATCCAGATCAACAAAACTTGACTACACATATTGACTTGAAATCAGAACATATCCATGGAAAATGCAGTCTACATAATATTTCTAACCTATTTTATGTGCCTAAGGTACACAAAAATAAAGTGCCTTTTTTTTTTTGCTATGATTTTCAGGCATTTTCCAAAATCATTCTAAAGAAGAATATGGCACGAGTGCGCCATCATGAGGCGACACAGGTTATGTCGAGTTCGGCTCCAAAAATAACAATGATGTGTATCAGAGACAAACCCAGAGCAGGGAGTCTGTATGATGATAATTATAACAGGCAAAAGCAAACATTGGCAAGCACAGAGTCCTGAATCGGATTCCCAGGACAAAAAAAAAAAAAAGATACAAAAAGAAAAAAAAGCAAACAACATATTAGATGTATTAAATAATCAGAAAATGTATCACACCTATAATTTGGTCTGTAACCTCTTGTGGTTCATAAGTGGTAAGATAATACAAAGGCATGTAAAAAATAGAAGGATATCACAAAACAATGACAATTTGAAGTTTTAAGATAATGTTTCATTTTTTTCGGGGCCACTGTAAACTCATACGCATCCCCCAGTGTTAGAACTGAACTAAGTACCTAAGTTCCTTTAAAGACACACGAACTGTGTTGGCACGTGTATCTCTGTGGTTTTCTGTGTAAGCACCCTTAGCATCTACTAGCTCCATTTTCCACACTCTTGACCTTCTTTTTGCATTTTAAAGTTAGCATTGTATTATTTTTTTGGTAAATAAACTTAAATCATTTGTGAGATAAGGTAGTGGAAAAATAAATCAATTAATTTTCTTTGAATCAGCAAAAATTCGAGTACAAGTGGTTTCACTATTTTAATTACTGACAATTAGGAGCCTAGAAGCCTCGTCAGCACTACCTTAAACTTTTGGTAGCATAATTTCAACCACAAAGTCCTTGAGTCAGTTCAAGAAAAAAAAAACCATTAAATTTATTAATATCTATATTTCCGTATGCAGTTGACCTTTGTTCTTATTTATTTATTTTGCTCCAGCTGTGAGCTCCAGTTCCAGTTCGTGTTATTAATAGAGTCACATTAATGTCGATTTCCTCACGCAGTTTCTTTTTTTAGTCTTTGATAATTTAGGTTTGCACAACTTATAGCTGACTGTAGCTGAACTGAGATTTCTTTGAATTGCTTTCCTGTTCTGATTAGAATTACATCAGCAAGAAAGTTCACCTTTTAGCTGACCTATGAGAAGAAATGATGCTGACTCACAGCCTTTCAGGCAAAGGTGCAGGCCTATTTGGAAGTTGGCAATTGTCTTCATAATTTGCGCATTGCGTGTGTGTGTGCGTAATGGACCGTGCTGGGCGAGTACAGTGATGATTCACACACCAGATATCCTGGGGAACAAACTGCAGTAGACGTTGAGCCAGCAGAGGGCTCCCTCTGGCGGTTCTAAGAACACACGCTTAGGAATCCATTCTGTTAGGGGCAATAGTGACTGGTATTATTTGTGGGGTTCGTTTCCTGCAATCAGATTTTTTTTTCTGATGCTGCACTACAAAGCACTTAGAAGTCTACAGTCATAATTGTGAACATTCAGAAAAACTACTCATCCATGTTTGAAGATACATATTTTTCTTACAAGCCTATCTTGCTTCATTGTTATGTACACAATTAGTTTCTTCAAAAATAAATTTAATTTTAAAATCCTAAAAATTAAATTAAATAATATACAAGAAAGCCCCTAACATAATCTTATATCTTTAATTGGTAATATTTTAACATTCTGGGTTTTGCTATCGTAAGGAGTCCAACACTGTGATAATTTCATAGCTTCATTTGCTTACCTAAAGGAATTTTACCAGAGAGGTCTTTGAGAGCAAAATTGGACATGTGTATTATCCACCCCTCCAAAAATATTTCAACTTCATAAAAAAACTTCAAGCCACACTGAATTAAATACTGTGATAAACAGCCTTAGCGATCTGAGACAGTCACAGTTCATTTATCACCTATTCTACTGTCCAAAAAATGTCAAGGAGCTGCTCATTATAGGCATTGAGAATTCACACTACTGATCTACCACCCCGGCTGGCCCAACTCCTTCACAGGATGCGTCGTGATCTGCTCACAGACAAAGAAAGAATGTGATAGAAGGTTTTTTGTTTGTTTGTTTGGGGATGCTGCGATGTTTTAGAAATCACATTTGGAGATGAACACAGTTACCTTCATGAAAGTTCACTGGGTGGTTTAGTAACACAGCTTCAGCTAAGTCCATAAGATTTGAAACATGAATCTAATCAGGTACCCTGAAAGGCACGTAAGCAGCAGTCTGTCAGTTACAGCAAAATCTCTGTCATAGGGACATAACCTAACTTTTCAAAAAAGTATGGATCTTGTAAAACAAAAGATCTGCAATATCCTTTCTAAGAAATATATACTGATGAATTTGAAGAATTATTAAAATTTTACCAGTTTAAAAAATATTTTTTCACCAGTTTTGCAAGTTGGTTTAACATACTCTTTTGCTGGCTTTGTTGCAAATGTAATCACTATTATATTTCTAAGAATTTAGAAAAGATGTCCTTTTGTTCATTCCTGGTTCTTTTGTTTATGCTCTTAGCCTTGCTTTTCAGCTCAGAGACTGGGCAGTATATCTATAATAGCTTGTTGTGATGGAGAAAGTATAGCACAGTCGGACATTAACTGGCATTTTTCTGCAGCCACAGCTTGTGATGGAAGGTTTTTGCTGACTGGGTCATCCGGGTCTTTCCAGGCTTCCCATTATCCAACGCTGTCTACAACACCTATTGTTTGCCAGTGGATCATAAGGTAAGATGCAGTCTTCCATGTCCCGTTTAGTTCTAAAGTCTTTTCTTGATACGGGATCTCAGCATTTTCAGTGTGTTCCTTAAACAGGTATAATTTTCATTAACTATGAGGCAAAGTCTTCCCAACTGATAAACTGGTCAAAAAGTTTGTCTGTAGTTCTTGCCATTTTGAAAACATATTTTGTCCTGTGAACATTACTGTTTAATAAATAGGGCCATATCTTTAGGTTCTGAAGCAATTATTCTTTTCCCCCGAGACTGGCATAAATCATGAGCTGCCAAAGCAAATAGCACACAAATACAGCTAGGCTGTTGTAGAGCTCATGTCATTTATACTTGTCTACAGAATATGGTTTTCCTCTGGTACCTGCAAGGAATAGGATCCAAGTCACCCACATTCATGAGTACTAAAATCTGTGGATACTCCAGGCCTTTATATAAAATGGCCCAATAAGTCCCAAAACCTAGTTAGAGTCTCTCCACATTCCACCAATTTGGGATTAGGTTGATACTAGTGATACCCTTAGCCCTACCAAAAAAAAAATTGTTTTGAAATGGATCTCACTAAGTTGGCCAGATTGGCCTTGATCTTCCTGCCTCAGCCTCTTTACAAGCCAATATTATTAATATACACCACTGTACTACATCTGTTTTCCTATAAATATTAAATCATCTCTAGATTTCTTATAATACCTGATATTATTTAAATGCTATGTAAATAGTTGTTGTATTGCATTGTTTAGAGAAAAATGTTTAAGGAAAAAGCCCAATATTGTTTAGCACTGAGGCGATTTTTGTTTTTAAATATTTCTGATCTACAATTGGCAGAGCTGAGGGATATGAAAGCTAACTGTAATTCCTTTGATATTATACTATTGTATGAAAATATTCAATAGTGAGATTTGATTGGCTTTTCCCCTGCTAGGCAAGAATTTCACGGTTGAACTATACCTCCACCCTCTTTCCCCCCAACCGCTGTTTGCTGTATCTTGCATAATTTTGGGGTATTACTACATATTTGACTTGCAAGCTCTTAATTGACTGAAACAATCATGATGATGACCTACATAATCAGGCTCCTGATAGTTGATTAACCTTATCAAAGCATCTTCTACTGAAGAGGAATACCTGATTGTCTTGCTTTCTTGTCACTAAGACACAATACTTTGACACAACTTAAAGGAGGAAAGATTTATTTTTGCTCATAGTTTGTAGAAATTTCAGTCATAGCTGGCTGGTTCCAAGATAAGGCCTAATGGCAGGGCAAGGTTGCTCTTAGCATGGTTGTTGGTAAGCACATAGAGAGAAAGAGAGAGAGAGAATGGGAGGAGGGAAAGAAATACACCCTTCCAGACCAATTCCAGTGACTCACCTCTTTGGTCAGGCTTCATTTCCTAACAACAGGTCCTTTAGCTATGAACTCATCTGTGGACTAATCCGCTGATAAATATAGCCTCATGATCCAATCAATCACCTGCCCAACTTCCAGCTAAACACACGAGACTTTGAAGGGACATCTAGACATAAACCATGACATCACTACACTGATGTTCCACTCAGATATTCCAAGTGGAAAAATAAGGGATATGGAAATAAAGTTATGTAATGATTTGTTCTTAAAATCCTTAGAACTTTTTAAGATACTAAATAAAAACGATAGACATTTAAACTCATTTCTTAATAATAGTAGCTTAAATTTAAAGGATTTATGAATTGAACACACAAAAAAAGGTTTTAGTATAATGACAGAATAATTTTGTTTTTGTTTTTGTTTTGTTTTGTTTTGTTTTGTTTTTTCTCTTTTTCATTTTTATCAGTACCAGGGATCGAACTCACAACTGCCTGCTTGCAAGGCAGGTGCTTACACCGCTGAGCTAAATCCCCAGCCCCGACAGAACAATTTTGTTATAACCACCATTTTATTTATTTATGTATTTTTATCCTTTTGAGACAAGGTCTCTCAATGTAGTTAAAGCTGGCTTTGAGCTCACTTTGTAGCCCAGATTTTTCTCAAACTTCAACACAATACTCCTGCCTCAGCCTCCAGAGTACTGGGTTTATAGGCAAATGCCATCACATCTGGCTTAAAAATCTTTTATTCATTAAAAATTTGTGTTTCTGCTCTTTTTATATCCATTTCATTATTTAAATGATTTAAGAATTTATTACTGGCATAGAAAGGATTATTAAAAACCTAAAAAATGAAAAATATTATCCTAAAACAAAGACCTTACCTCATGATAAAATTATAGTTAAGATAGTCACATAAATAACCTTTTTTCTCAAATCTATTTCAAATATGCATTTACATATAGTTTGAGGTCTTTATCCCCCCAATGATGAAAGTAGGTGTAAAAAATTATTTCTTTACATGCTTCAAAGACAAAATAAATAGTGGAGAAATATTTAATATGCAGTGAAACTGTATTTTGGCCTGTACTGATCCACCATTAACATTATTATTACATTTAGCATAAAGCTGATCAATAAGAATGTGTGTATTAGAGACAGCCTGTGTGTGTTGAGGTCTACTTTCTTCAGATTAAAGAAATGTGACCCGAGACAAATAATTACAGCTCTCTGACCCTAAATACATGCATCTAGAGTTCAGCTTCAATTACTGAGATAAATCATCATAAATCTTTAAAAATGAATGTTAATTGCCTGGCATATATCATATGTTCATTAAAAATGTACAATAAAAAGATTAGCTAACAATATAAAAATATCAAATGTGTGCATTAAAGTTGGGAAGATATTCATTTCTTTATAAAAATTTAGAAGATAACAAAGATATCTAATAATATGAAAACACTAGACTATCTTACTTTTACTTTCTAAATACTGGTGTCTTTTCATTGCACATGAATTGATTGTTCTGAAATACAGGGAAAAAGAAAGCAGTACAGTCTTGTTTCTATGTTCTCTCTCTAGTTTCAATTCTGAGAAGGGTCACAGTTCTGATTCTGACACTTCAGAGTGTAAGTGGAGTTGTAAATACTGGCTGCAGTAGTCCTGTGATGGTGAACCTTTTAGCTCTTTCAATGATAGCAAACAGCTGGCTGTGACACGTGTGCCTCGGGTTCACCACCACTGACTGAGGCACTTTTTATCCTTTTGAACTTTATCATTTGAACTAAGCTTTGAGTCCTTCAGCATAAACTATAGAGATTTGCTAAATATTTATGAAGGTGTAGGATCAAGCAAGTTTAAAACCCTGTATTTAAATATCAATTTATACTTTCTGACAAATCTGTCACATTTCTTCCTACAGTCATGTGAAAATTTACATTATATTTTACAGCGGATTATTTCTTACAGTGATAACCATGTACTAATTTCTACAAAGTGTTAATGAATATTAGATGCACAAATTAATCTGTCTTTGAGTCATACAGGCTCTGCTAGACGAGGCATTTAAGTGTATTGCAGACAGTCAGAGAGTCTGATAGTTTCCTTGGCAATGTATATGAATCAGAAGACTCACTATTAACATATTCATACTACCAATTGAAGTACAAGTTTAGTGCAATCCCTAGCAAAATGCTAATGATAACTTTACAGAAATAGAAAAAAGTCCTAAAATTTACATGAAAACATAAAGGAAGCTAAAAAGCTAAAATAAATTTGATAATGAAGAACAAACTTAAAATCATCATATTTCCTGACTTGAAAACACACTTTGAAGCTATGGTAATACACTGGTGCAGTGAGAAAGGCAGAGACCAATAGAACACAGATCCACAAAATAAGCCTTGCATGTATAATTGTTATGATTGATACATTGTGTCAACTTGAGAAACTTTAGAAATTAAACTAAGAGATTCACCAGGAAGTCAGGACCCTTAACTCTGTAAATATTCTCATACTGTGAAAGAGGAGAGCACAGAGCTTTATGAGCGCTACATCTGCCTTGGAGGGCAAGTCGCGGAGGGGTGTGTGGCCTGTATACAACGTATGGGAGGAAAAGATGCTTGTTCTCTACCCATTTTGCTTTGGCTGCTTTTGGTGGCTGATGCCTTGAAGTGTGGCCCTGGTGCCATGCCACCCTGCCTTAGAGACAGCTGATTATAGACTGAAATCTCCACAAATAGTGAGTTAAATTGTATATTTCATCCTTGCAATGAGAGAGAAGTAATCAAGACAAGAGTCAAATATCTTCAACAAGAGAACTAAGACTATGTAATAGAGAATATTCAACAAATGATATTAGGAAAATCTGAAATCTACCTAAAAAAGTAAAATGAGATCTTTATGTTGAAATTTTCATAGAAATTTATACAAAGTGAATAGAAGACTTAGATGTAAGACCTAAAATGGTAAAATTCCTAGGGGGAAAAAAAACACAAGAAAAATTTTTTGCATGTATCTTACAACAATTTCTTGGACATGACAGCAAAAACATAAGTAATATGAGCAAACAGGTGAATGTGACTACATCAAACTGCAAAGCTTCTTGCACAGTAAAGAATACAATCAACAGAATAAAAAGGTCACTCAGAGTGAGAGCAAGCATCAGGAAATGTAAAATTGACCGAGCTGCTATGGAAAATAGTATATAGTTTCCTTAAATTATTAAAAATAGAAAACATATGATCTTCAATCCAAGTTCCAACTCACGGACAGTGGAATAATGGAGGCCAGGGTTGGAGGGATAGAGCAATGGGGAATTTCTGTTCAATGCATAGAGTTTCACTCATCCTACATGAATATACTGCAGATCTGCTGTTCAACATTGTGTTAAAAGTTAACAAATCTAAGGGGCTGGGGATTTAGCTCAGCGGCATAAGCACCTGCCTTGCAAGCAGGCAGTCGTGAGTTCAATCCCTGGTACTGATAAAAAAGGAAAAAGACAAAAAAAAAAAAAAAAAAGTTAACAAATCTGTACCATATGCATATTTAAAATTTTCTTAAGAGGATAGATCTCATATTATGAAAGTTTTAGTTTAGTAAACAAAATACATTGGAATCTAGAATCCATTAAATATTATGACTAAGTGTATTTTAATCAATTTTTTTGCTTTTAATTTAGTGTAAACCAAGGACTTTCAATTGAACTAAGCTTTGAGTCCTTCAGCATAAACTATAGAGATTTGCTAAATATTTATGAAGGTGTAGGATCAAGCAAGATTTTAAGAGGTAAGTAAAACAAATATATGACCCATTATCAAAATGAAAAGGTATGGGGAGCTTTGTAGAGATATTTTCCCTTTGCTTTTAAACTTAATATGAACTAGAAATATGTATAAGTGACTTAAAATCAGTGTGCCCATGTACCAGCTCTTCACAATAAATGTGTTCATTGTGTGTTGCAAACAAGTACTGATAAAAATAAATTTAAAAAAGAAATACCAAAATTGTTTATAAAGGTTATAACCAGCCAGGGATTTAGCTCAGTGGCATAAGCGCCTGCCTGGCAAATGCAAGGTCATGAGTTCAATCCCCAGTACCAAAAAAAAAAAAAAAAAAAAAAAAAAAAAACTTATAAGCAATTGATTATAAAAGTAATTTATAAGAAAATAATTACTTCGTAATAAAATAATTGATATTTCAGATACTTCTCTTATAATGGGTGCTGTAAAAATCATATGCATGTATAATTATATATTTGTTTATTATGCATCATTTAAATGCTATTCCACATAAGATAAAAAATCAAATGTGCCTCAACTATTACTCTATTTTTCTTTGACACTACAGGAATTATAAGTTTTATAATCTCTATTCTTTTTTCATTGTGCACATTGTTCCTTAGTCTCTTGAAAGATTAAATTGAATGAAGTGGTTAAAATGGTGTTTAACATTAGAAATCGAGTCAGTAAAGAGTAGGTGCAGATCAGATTGCTACTGCATAACAATCTGCGGTTAGTACTGTGGCACACAGCTAAGAAGCAAGTGCACTAATAGTATATGTCCTCCAGGCCCACTTTATTCCATTATACCCCACAATTCTATAATAAATATAATGGGTCTTCCTGAACAGCCCATTTGTCCTGCAACAGAAGAAGCATAGTGTGAATAGGAATTTAGGTAACATATGGAAAACATTTTTTAAGGCAAAACATTTTCAATACACTTTGTGATTTCATTGGGACACTTTTGTGTACACTCAGAATACCCTTTCATTCACTTCTGCTGATAGGGAGGTATACAGAAAGAAGTTTAATAAGCACTACCCCTTCAGAAACTTCCAAAAATTACTTAATCATTGTGCCTGGCTAGCATACTAATTTCTTCCTCTGGGTATTTCTCCCATATTTAATAATTCCACATTTAGTTTTTATAACCCATCAGTATGAATATGTCTAACAGGGCATGTGCTTATTTCTTGTCAATGACATCAGCATATATATTAATTATAGTGAGCATTCTACAACTTTTCTAGAGGTGATGTGTATTATTGAAGAAGGTTAATGGATCTCAGAACATAAGCTCTGAACCATCTAGACCACTGAAGTAACATTAGAAAACATAGAGGTCTAACTCATTACAACTATCAAAAGTGAATGGGAAAGTTTCTGAAATACTCAATAGTTAATGAATGTATCTTTTGTTAAAATTCAGTAAATAATATCTAGGTTTTGACCTCCAATTTTGAAGAGTGGTGCTTTACACAGACCTGCATTTTACTCTTAGTTTAACTTATCCAACAAAAAATCAAATAATTTTTAACCCTTTCTTCATTACAGTAATCAATAAAAAGCATTTTTAGACCTCTTTTTGTCTTACTGGTTCTTATGCCATTTTAGTATTTTGTATATTCGTACTTGCTTATGTATGTCTACCAAATGAAGATGTTTTGCCTCTAAAAACCAATTCTCATACTATATATTTCTGTAAATGTCCTATAACAGTCACTTTCATTCATTCATCATATGAGAATGTATCATATCCCCAACATTATAGAACTCTTGAGAATCAAAAATAGAATGATATCTCTCAAGCAGTTTGTGTTCTTCAGGCAGAACTTTAATAAGACCAATAAAAATGCTATTAGAGCAATCCTTACTGACCTAGTATTATTTTGAGGTACTAAGGTTATCTGAGGACAGAGCCAAATGCATCTTTTAGTTTTCACTATTGCAAGTTTCTTTTACCTCCTGTAAGTGTGGTACAAGACATACCTGGTGGAGTGTAACTTTTTGTTTGTTAAACTCTTAAACTTTGTGTTTTGTAGAAGAATTTTCTCCGTTTGGACTGCATTTTGTTTTTATATGTGTGAATAGTGTTCATTCCTAGTGATTCGAAATGAAAAATATGTTTTTTAAACTAAAAATCTGCATAATAATTTGAACTTTTGTAATGCTTAGAAGAGACATAAATTAAAATTTAATCATACAGTAGTGTGTTTCATTAACTGAATGATGTCAGACAGATGAATTAATGAATCAGTCAATAAATGTGGAGTTAATAGGTAGATGGATGAATGAATGGATGGAATGATAATACTTTCAAATGTTCATATTTTTTACAGCTTCTCTTTCTGAAACTGATCCTGGCACAATCAGAATTTTTTCCAACCAAGTTACTGTCACCTTTCTCATCGAATCTGATGAAATTGATTACATTGGCTTCAATGCATCATATTCTGTATTTAATACCAGTGGGCTTAATAGTAAGTAACATTTTGATTATTTTTAATCAACCTTTTCATTTTAGATATTTCAGTATTTTAACAGAATTTAAAAGTAGAAACTAAAATTTTCACTTTGCAAGGTCTTTATTGACTATCTTTTATGTATTCTCTTTATTTGATAAAGGAAACATAAATGAGAAAGTGGTTAACATTATGGATCAGAATCAAATAATCAGTTCGAGAAAAATCATGTGGATATAAAAGTTACATTAAAAATTTATATACTGGAAATACACATAAAAATTATCAGCATAAAATAATTCAGAGAAAATTCTGCATAAACTTTATTTTGATCCGAGTACTAAATTCAGGGAGAAGGGGTGAGAAAAATATAGGATAAACTCCATAGTCCTATCTAATCCAATAGAGATAAGATGTCAATTGAATGACAAAACATTGTATTTACTAATTCCTAAAAAGTAAAAGAAATATGTTAATTTAAATAAAATGCTGAAATAAAAAAAACTAAATGGAAACAATTAAAATTAATAAAAATGATTTTATGCATGTAAATTATAAAATCAATAGAGATTACTTTCAGTATAATATAACTGTTCAGATAGTGCATGAAGTGAAAGATTTTTCCCTCTCTTTTTAATAACAGATTATGAAAAAATAAACTGTAATTTTGAGGATGGCTTCTGTTTCTGGGCCCAGGACCTAAATGCTGACAATGAATGGGAAAGAGTTCAAGGAAGTACCTTCCCTCCCCTCACTGGGCCAGACTTCGACCACACTTTTGGCAATACTTCAGGTATTTACATTTACATTTACATCACATTTACTTTACATTTACATCAGGAATCAAAAGAAAAGGGGTGTGTGTTCAGTAGTTTACAGAGAGCAGTTTTAAAAGAAAAAGGCTTTTCAGATGTTTTGTTAAATCATGTGGCAATAAATGTATCTAAATAAAAAATGGTAATGGAATAGACAGGTAAAAGTGTGTTTCATGGAACATATTCTTTTACCCTATGTATTCATTCATAAGTTGTTGAGAAGTGAGCGAGAGCCATTAGCACAAAGCAACCAGGTTGCCACTCTAGATTGGCCATTTATTATTAACTAAGTAGGCCTCTGGGAGGAAATTAGCTTCCTCGCTGGTCAGTCTGTTTTGTCTTAATTTCATTTTCTGATTATTCATTGCTGGAGTATGGAAATACAATCAGGTTTTGGATATTGAGTTTGTACTCTGGAACTTTGCTAAACTTATATATTTTTTATTTTAAAAAATCCTTAAAACTATCTGTGTACAAGAATATTTCATCTTGAAATGAAAATTGGTTTGTTTCTAGGAAACCCTCTGGAACCTGATCATAGAATATGTCTTATGGGGCATGTTCATATTTTTGTTTGAATGGGATATAAAAATTGAATTATAAGTGAAAGCATTAACATTGGAGATAGTAATATTGCACTACGAGAGTTAAAATTATGGAAAAGTATCTCAAGATAAGGAAGTTCTTATAGAAAGACCACTGCCAAAAACCTTAAAGTACATGGTCATAATACAAACGTTCCTTGTTAAATCCAAGTTGTATTCCCTGTGACCAGTTGAATGAATTGGTCACTAAAAGAGAGACTATGCACACAGTATGTACTATGTACACTATAAACAAATGTCCAAAGGAAATTCTAACTTGACAACTTTGCTTTTATTTGCATAGTTCTTACATGTAGTACTGTAATGTATAACAGAACATAAAATTATAGTACTATACAGTACAATCAACGAGAAACAGTACTATGTAAGTGGTAGGTCTTAAGTTAGCACAGCATGCCTTAAGTCTGAACAGTGATTAAACATGTGGATCATTAAAGGGGGGAAATCTGTATCAACTGTGTCTACCAAGCAAAGGCTACAAATTCAGAAGGAATGTGAATCTTAAAACCAAGGAAAATTTCCCGAAGGATTTGTGTGTTTATATAATTTTTTCTCAAACAAAAAGTGGAAGAAATCCAACATGATTTTCTGGGAGCTTATTAATAAAAATACAATTCAGCCCAAAATACAAATTAAAATCTTTAAACTATGCATAATTCTAGACTTTGAGGGCATAGGTCACATTACACTATTTCTGCAGTCTGTCAGAACCCCCTCTTGAAGATTTCCCTTTAAACACTCAAAGCAAGCAGTATATATGAAAATATATTCTGCCATGTTCAATGTGGGTGAGTGGTCTCTTCAAATATAAAGTTTGGAGAGAGAAAATGGTAGGACCAACACTAAGATTCTATTGCCAATTAAAACACAGTAGTTAGTATAGTATAGTAGTTGCTGAAAAAGCAGCAAAACAAACTTTGAAGAATTGAAGGGAATAACCACATAGATTAATCTACATGGAGGGAACAAACAGAGCCATGACTGCCACGATGAGTGTGTCATGCTGTTTGAGAAGCCAGCAGACAGGAGTGGCTGAAGTAGTGGTGCAGGACAGCAGGGTCAGATGACCATGGTGCTTCCCAGGCTTTGGCTTTTTCCTTGAGGGAGAGGGCCAGCTACTCAAGGTTTCAGCTCAAGCGGGGGGGGGGGGGGGGGGGGGGCGGTTGGAGCCACTCACCAGGAGACAGAGATAGGTTGCTGAAGGGCAAGAGTGTTTTTAGGGACATGGATGCAAAGCTGTCCCATGACCCAGAGTGGGGATCTGGGACTGAGATCAGGTACCAGATATGATGAGAAGACATCAGATTTTGGGTATTGTTTGACAGTAATGACAACACAATCTTGCTAAATTACCAGTTTGAATCTACATATAAATTGTCTATCTACTGCATAGATAGACAATCTTGTGAGACCGAAATTTACTGCAAATGAAGATACGTATTTTCTTACATAATTAATCTTCTCTGAGTGGGTTATTTCCCAGAGTCTAATTTTCCTTGGTTAAATTAGTGCCCTGCATAGCTAAAGACTAACTTAGAGGTGATCAGCATCCCAGCCCCCTGAAGAGGACCTAAAACAGTCAAATAATCGAATCCTTTTTTCCCTTATTGTATAATAATGCTAATGAAAAAGTTTCAACCGTACTTGGGTAAGAATAGTGAGAGGAGAGCGCAGAAAGGATTTATATCTATTGACTCTGAAAGATATCTTTTTATGTAGTTGAAACCTTTGATGTTCAAATTATCATTTTTCTACTTTTAGGTCATCATAATAAAGATAAAATAATTCACTGATATTTGAAGTGTATGAGCACATTACAGAAGGATAAAATCGTTTCTTTCAGCTTGCCAACAGTTTAAATAACCAAAGATGAAACTGACTGAAGTGAAATAGGTTGAATGTCAGGTGGAGATTTTAAATAGTTGGGTGGGAAATGAAGTCTCAGGAGAAAGTCATGTCCCAGGAGTTATTTAAAATTAGATAACGTAGAGCAGGTCAGAGTGTACCAGAGGCAGCAAAGTAATGAGAACGATGGCAGGGCTTAATAGGCCCTCTCTAGCTCTCCTACCCGTGATTTCATAATCTACCAGGTATTCACCCCCGGGGGCATTTTTCTTCCAGCTGGCTTTTTTTATGCATCAGAACATCCTACCTCTGTAATAGGGAGAGAATTAAATTTCTTCTACCAAAAGTCTTTTAATTTGTCCAGAGTTTGTTGTTGTTGTTGGTAGTTCTTTGTTTCACATTAAATGAGAAGAAAATGTAAATGAAAGAGATAAACTTTGAATTAGCATTGCTTTAGGGAAGAACAGCTGACCCCTTTCATTTTTCCAGACTGCTCTCTTGGTCAAAGCATTGCCCTCACGCAGACTTTTTCTGCACCTCTTAGAAGGAAAGGGAATTGGGAGAGATGGTGACACTGATGTAGAGGAGCACTTTTAGGGTGCTCATTTGTTCATTACTCCGAGGGGGTTAGTGACATGTGAAGAATTCAGAAAAGCAGGGTCACAAAAAGGCTGTATGGTCCCTGGAAAAAGTATTGCTTTCATTGCATTTCTCAGTGAGATCATAATTGTTCTAATATTTGAAAGACACCAAAGTGAGGAACCAAGGACCATTAAAATGTAGACCATGGAGCTTTAGGTGAGTTTGAATCTGACCTCCCTTTAAGAGCAGTATGTCTCTTTTTTGCTCAGTTCCCACATCTAGAAGATGAGGTTGATGGTTATAGGAACTGATGGACGCATGAAACAAATTTTAAATTGGTTACTTGAAAAAAGTTTTCAGAAAAAAGTATTATGTAGGAAAAATGCCATAAATGTTAAGTGTTATAACTATTTTATTTTCATGACACAAAAGTACACCAGAGATACAATTATCTGAGGTACTCAGTTCTAAGTAGTACTCTGGCAAAGAAAACAATTAATTGTCTTAATTTTCAAAAGTATGGATAAAAAAGAATTAAGACATGTTTCATGCATGTACCTACTCTCCATAAGAAATATAATCATTATATACTGCAGGCATGCACTCATTTAAAACAATTAATACTGGAAAAGGAGTATACTTGTGTGATGGTTTATGTTGCCCTGTCCCCTCAAAGCTTCATTCAGCATGGACGGGGAGTTTTCATAGATGACCTCATCTTAAGTATATGGTGCTGGGATCAAGGTGTGTGATTACTAAATCAAACCACTGATACTTTTGGTATAGTTCTGGCCAGGATTAAGGGTGTGAGTGCTACATCTGCCCTAGGGCAGGTAGCCTGCGAAAAATACAAGGAACAGAGAAGGGGCTAATGTGATCTCACCTGCTTGGTTACCCTGGAATGTTTTTCTGTAATGCCCCTCTCACATGCCATCCTGCCTTGGAGCCAGCTGATTTTGGATGGAAACTTTTACAAACTATGAGCCAAATAAATCTTTCCTTCTTTAATTTTGGGTGTCCAGTATTTCCTTTTAGCAAAAGAAAAGTAACTACCTAGCATTTCATGTAGTGTGGTAAACGTTTTGTGCGACTAAGGTTTTGGAACAACCTTGTTTTTTGATCTGTCTTGTAGGCTTGAAATTTAGAAAATAATATTTTTTTCTAACAATGATAAGACCTAAATGAATTTGGACCTTCTTCAACCTAAACTTTTAATAATATTTGCCTACTATGTCTCGTTATTTTTACGTATAGACTTACAACAAACAAAGCTATTTACAGCTGCCTATTTTTCTTTATAAAGGAACTCCAAATTTCCAAAAAACACAACTGTCTCTTCAAGTTCTGGTGTCTCTATCAGCATCAACACATGCTGAGCACTTTTTCTTTTCAACTGAGTTATTGGATAGGAAGAGGTTAGAATATATTCACGAAATAATAAGCAGAAAGAGTGGCAGAAGGAAGTTGTATGAAAAAGTTAATGGCTTCAGAAAAAAGGTCACTGTGTACACTGCTTTAAGGTTAACTCCAAGAGGACATTTCAAGAAAGCTGAAGGATTTTTAAAGAAATAAGCACTTGACAATATAAGGTCCAAATGGTTATGGAAAATGTCTATTTAATCATTTCTTTTGTAAAGAATTTTAATAAATGTAAAAGAAGGTCAAGTAAATGTAACAAAGATGTATATTTAAAAATTCATCTACTTTTTATAGAAAATATAAAAATGAATTAGATATGTTTCTTTTTTCTCAAAGTTCTAGCAACTTTGAACTTACATACTACTCTTATATATAAGAAACACACTGCAGAATGTGAATGGTTTGGCTAAAGTACCAACTGAACATTAAAGAGGAATGGTTGCTTCTAAGACAGGGACATTGTGAGGAGGTAGAAATTTGATTAAGTGATATCAAATGTTAGTACTGTCATTAACAAGGCTTGGAGTGGTCCCCAAAGTGGAGGTGGGTGCTTTGGCTCACCACTAACCAATGTTGTCTCTGGTATACTTTTGTGCCATGAAAATAAAAGTTATAACACTTAACATTTATGGCATTTTCCTACATAACACTTTTTTCTGAAAACTTTTTTTAAGTAACCAATTTAATACTTATTTCATGCGTCCATCAGTTCCTATAATCAGCAACCTCATCTTCTAGATGTGGGAACTGAGGCAAAGAAGATACATAATGCTTTTAAAGGGAGGTCAGATTCAAACTCACCTAAAGCTCCATGGTCTACATTTTAATGATCCTTGGTTCCTCACTTTGGTGTTTTTAAAATATTAGAACAGTTATGATCTCACTGAGAAACGCAATGGACAGGTTGCAGATTTACTGATTTCGGTTGCTAAAAAGCTAAAGTTTCAAGACACATCAGTAAGAGGTTAAAGCGATTTGTTAGGCAGAATTCAAAGTACATGCTCAAAAAATGAGAGTATGGGCCTTCAAAAAGGAAAGAAGTGGATGCTATATTCTGGAATTGAAGATATGTGTATGTTTGAGGGGGCATAAATCTATGCAAGTTATGTATCTACAGAAAGTTTGCACTTTTTTGCAGAAGAATAGCCAACCCAACCCACAAGTAGAAAAATACTTGCTCATTTACTGTTGAAAGAACAGTCCATTTTACAGGAGAAAAGCACAGGCTACGTGTTAATTTTTGTTTTATTTTAAAATGAATAATGTAGGATGTTTTGTCTAAAAAGCTATTTGAAACTTTTGAATCTGTTTCTCTATTTTAAGGTCAAGCCTCTGTTTTTCACTCTGTCAGCCTCGCTAATTTATAGGTTTATGGTATGATTAAGGGATTTTGTCTGTGAAAGGCCTGGAAGTAAAAGAGGATAAAGGAGCCTGGGGAGTACATATGGAAAACCCTGGGTGACCGGGTCATAAAATTGCTGTCTTCTTAAAAGTACAGTTTTAAATTATAATTGTATTTGTTTCCTTCTTAAATACCTTCATTCTCCAACTCTAGTTCAATATGATTTCGACAAAGCATAATTGAAAAAAAATGTAGAAGAACAGGAAAATATAAAACTAAAATGACTGAAAATAGAGAAAAGGCATAAAATTTTAGGTGTTTGGAAATAGTACAGTTAGAAACAAAGGAGCTGAGTGGGGCACTCCCTTCCCTTCCTTTAACTGTAAAGGCCACACAACCCTAATGATTATGGGTGCTTCTATAATCCTACCGTAGGGGAGCTGTGTGAGCCACTTCCCTTCTTTCCATTCAGCCACAAACCAAACTGGCATCAGAGAGATGATGAAAGGCACCTTGGATCAGCGGTGTCTAACCCTAAAATTACCAAAGCCTGAGTTACCAAGTCCCTTTGCCCTTCTGCCTCTCCCTGCTGCTCTGTAATCTTCAGTAAAGTTTTTGCATCCTATGAGGTGTACACTTGGCAGTTCTTTCCTTCTCATATGTAAGAACCTGGACTATTTTTGGCCTGCTCAACAGAAGCAGAAATATCAAAATAATATAAATTTTACAATGTACTATATATACATAGGTGAATTATGTGAACTATGGTTAGAAGACATTGAGATCAAATCTCAAGAGTGAAATTGTATGTGGATTAACAGGATGAAAGACAGTAAAAGAGCTTGAATCAGGGACTAGTTAGCTATAATATTTACCAACACCCCATGAAGAATGTAATGATTATGAACTGCAAACACATAATAATAAAATTAAAAATTGAAAGGGAAAAAAGTAATAAGAGGCCAATTAAAATGCACATTAAGAAGCAGTATCACCCTTTGGTATAGGTGATAAAGAATTCCAAAGAAGAGTTTCAGAAAATGGAAACACAGACACTTGGAAATAAGTAGGACAATGATGATCTGATTTAAACACCGTCCCTACTGTTGCAGTTTCTTCTCACTAATGAGATACCCCCCAAAACACTATGCAGAGTGAAAGCAATTGTGAGAGTTCATCAAAGAGGATACAAGCTGAAATTGTGCCACTTCAAAATTATCTAAAGCAAAAAGGCAGGTTAGTCTTACAAAGACTGAAGAGAGACATAATGTTATCAGTGTTTGGGTCCCAATGAAATTTTTTCCAGGTTCTTAGTACCCTGAAGAAAAAAATTATGCAGGACACACAGAATGTGAAGTGAAGATTTACATTTACTGAAAGTAGAAAAGAAGCTATGTAGCAAAAACAAGCTGGTGGAAAGGCACTGGCAGCCACAAGGGTAATGGCAGGGTTCTTTCCTCTCTGGAATTTGCTGTCCCCTCATGCAAACAAGCCATTGTCCTGTCAGAAACTCACCAGACCTGGCATCAGATTTAAGCTGCCCAAGGATTCCTTGGTTTCACACCGTATGTAAATAAAGAGTTAAAGATGGTACCTTCTGCTGGGTCCCATCTACAGTGTTCAGGGATTATTCCAAACTGTGTTCTGCATATGTGTCCTAGTTCTCATAACTTTGACAGATTATGCCTGCTTGCTTGAGCAGATATGCCCCTCCCTAATCTCTTACATCACCAACAGTGGTCTGTAGACATTTGTTGGGCTAATAAAATGTCTTAAATTCACCAGTCCCAGAGATCAAAATTAGAAACAATGTACATATGAAAGCTTATTCTCCAAAAAAGAATTAAAAAATGCAATTATGTTAAAATAAAGTAGGATGCACTAGATTATGATTCTGTTGCATCTGGCATGTTAACCCATCGAGTGACCTATACAGACAAAATGCCATAGATGAAATGTAAGAGCAGATTTCCTCAGAATTTAGGAATCTTAGTTAGTTAAAGTTTTATGTAAATTATAATTCTTTACATCTAAAATTCATGATTTTATAAATTTCTCTCATTTTCTAAAACTTTGACTAAAAATTAAGATTATATTACACAGATGGTAGCATTATATATTTTCTTGCTGTATTCAATAATGTGTAATTCTCTATAACCTGCACTATACTGTGCTATTTATCTATTTACTTACTTATGAAAATCTATAAGATATTAAGAATGTATATGATTAATTTGCTGTATGTATATATAAACTTACATCTTGGTTGTACTTATTTTAAATATGTCATTGTTTAATGAATAATGGACTCAGAATTGTTCAGGTATAATTAATTAACTACAAAAGCAGCCAAATATAAATAAGATCACGATGTATGTTTATGCAATACTATGCAATGCTAACTAGACATATTTCTAAACACTTCAGACTTTTCAGTACTTATTTATGGCATTCAATAATTTTTTAACTATTTCTTAAGCCAGTAAAAGTAAGATCATCTCAAAATGGATTTGTGATTGGGGATTTAATGATGAATTCTGAAACCTTTCCTTTTTTCTATGTGCTCTTTTTTCATTAGGTCATGTAACTGAGCACTAGCCAAATGGTCAAAACAATCATTCATTAAATGTCACAGCATATTTAAAATATTAATCATGTGTTAGTAATACAAAAGGTTTAATATGTATTTTTTCTTTTGCATTTTAAGATCTAAATCCAACTGATGTACATATATTACTTTTATTAACATATTTGACAATTATTTCATATTAATAAAATATTTATTTTGAAAAATTTTCACATTACTGATTTAATTATTGTACTATAACATATAAGTAGATCTACTCTTCTTTTTTTTTTCACTTCTGGTTCTGAACCTGCATGTTTTAAATGAGTGTTTGAATTTTATGAGCAATATAACCTATACTTTTCTGTTGTAATACATAAGGTGGAAGATGTTAGACTTTAAGCCAACACTAAATTTTAACAATTTATTAAAAAATTGCCTTGCAATCAAATTAGGATAATATAATATTTCATTTACTTTATGTCTTATCATGTTTCCTGTTTCCTGTTATAAGTCATAAAATAAGAATACAAAAAAATTGCCCTAAGAAAATCCTTAAAATATTCTTACTTTGCGCATTTTGAATGACTCAAATCATTGGTTGAAATAATGAATTATAGAAGAGAGAGTACTTTATGCTATGACTTATGCTATTTTTAAAGCTTTTACATGGATTAGCATGCTTCTTGCTCCACTGTTATCTGATTAGTTGTCATTCAAATAAATGTAGAAGATGAAACCATTATAAAGTCAAATAACCTCTCAGTCAGAGAAAAACAGCATAGTCAATGGAATATATAACTGAGAATCTTTGAAACTCTTAACTTGCTTTCAGCTGTGTCTTTACTTTTATGAATCATGAATTAGCCTATCAGCATTTCTAAATATTCTGATGTACTGATTGTCTCAAAGATTTGAATTAATTAAAATATATAGCAAATTGCATTGAAAGTGAAGATTTCAGAATTGTGAACTAGTTTTCCTAAATAGCTATCTTTTTGTGTGTGACAGAGTTGTTACTCTCTGGATTTGAGAGTAGTGTCCTGTTCATTCTATAAAACTACTGTACATATCCACTGGGTGTGGTGATCTTCACCTATAATTTCATTATTCAGGAAGATAGGCAAGAGGATCTCAAGTTCAAGATCAGCCTGAGTAATTTAGAGAGATTCTGTCTCAAAAGAGAAAAATTAAAGAGAAAAGAAAAGAACTTGGTTATAGTTCAGTGCTCCCAGGGTTCATCCCCACTGTCCAGCCACGTAGTGTTTTCTAGTATCTTCAACCTAAAATATCCTTTTCTTTGGAATTGAACTCAGAACCTTGTACTTGCTAGGCAGGTGCTATGCCACTGTGCTATATCCCTGGCCCCAAAAGTATTCTTTTCTGTTTATGATTAATTCCTGTCACACAATGAAGATGCCAATATTTTAGTAAATGAAAGCTTTTATTGTTTTTACAGGATTTTATATTTCTACACCAACTGGCCCAGGAGGAAGAAGCGAAAGAGTGGGACTTCTAAGCTTACCCTTAAGTCCCTCTTCGAATCCAGTCTGCCTTAGTTTCTGGTATGCTCTGATTAGTTACTTCTTAGATCCGAGGGAAGCACCTGTTAAATATTATTTTACTTAATGAGCAGCATTATCATCCTCAGATGACATCCTCCTCATTTTAGATTTCACTAAAATGAAAACGAGTGTTTCAGTGCAGGCACTATTACTTTTTTAATTGATAAAGTAACAAAATTTTGTAGATTTTTCTCCCTTCTCAGGAATTCACAAGCCAAAGGAAAAGAGTAAAAATCAAAGGTTAATAAAGGACCTGGAGAATCTAAAATCCACTTACGCTAATGTGGTAGTGACCCAAACATTTTTGCTTATCATTTTTCCAATCTAGGTATTATATGTATGGTGACTATGTCTACAAATTAAGCATTAATATTAGCAGTGATGAAACCATGGAGAAGACTGTTTTCCAGAAGGAAGGAAATTATGGACAACAGTGGAATTATGGACAAGTAACATTAAATGAATCAGTGGAATTTAAGGTTAGCAAAACACTTTGTGATTTATATTTGTATTTATTTATGGTGATGTGAATACATTTTGCAATGGTAACAATGAAAACGATGATTAATTTTCTGAAGATAGCTAAGTCTCGGAATCTACTTATCTAATCCATCTTAGATTTTTTTATTATCTTCACTTACTTATTGACTCATTAAAAATCCCTTACTCCATGGAAGACAATTTACTATTTGAAAAGTACAGCTTATGGATACTTTATGGATGCTTTGTATGCATCTATAAAATCCTCTGGAACTTTGGAGAAGACTTCAGCTTTCAGCATCTTCATAGCACAGGCCAACCCTGTCTTCTTACATTCCCTACTACCCTGAGGTTTTCACCTCTTTGCAAACCCCACTTCGGTCAGACTTTAACTTTTCAGAAGTCATCCTTTCCATTTAGGACACCCACGCCTGTCAGGCTCCATCTACCCTGCCCCACTGTGGCTTCATCTCCATATATTTCTGTTAAAAACAAATTCTATGAGCTGTGTCACTGCAAAGTCTCTGATCATTTATTTCACATTAAGGTGGATCAGTTTTTCAGATAACAGTTTAATGTGTTCTCTTCCTAAGGGTTTTACATCTGAAATACAGGCTATTAGTTGGGCCAGATTAGCAATGCTCTAATTGGGTAATTTCAAGAAAGTATCACTTTTAAAGGACACATACTTAGACAGGCTTCGTCATCACCAAGACTTCTGCTGTCTCCTATGATTAGAATTACGCACATTTAGCAATTATCAATGACATCATCCTCATTCTAACCTATCACTTTATTTCCTTCTCTTGTTTTTCCTTCTTTCCTCCCTTTATTTTTTTCCTCCAGTTTCAATTTTTATTTGTTTTCTTCCTCAATTTTGATTTTTTTCTTGTAATTCAAGACCAAGTAAGGAGAAATAGACCATGCAAGGAACAAAGAGATTTAAAAGTGAGAATATAAATATTTCAGTGGCCAAATCTGGTTCAATTGGCTAATCATTTTTCTAAAATTATATAACTTTGGTTTTAGTTTCTCTGGAAGAGAGACTGCACCAAGCTCTGCAAATAAAGTAGTTTACCAACTCTTATCTGTAGTTTGTTTTCATATTTCAACTACCTACAGTCAATAAGAGTCCAAAAATATTAATGGGAGAGTTATGGAAATAAATGATTCATAGGTTTTAAATATTTTTCTTATACTCTATTATAATAAATGTTCTATTTTATTCATCTCATTATGCCTAATTTTTTATAAAACTATCATAAGACATATATGCAGTATTTGAAGTAATATTATCTATGTGGGGTTTAGTACTGTTTAAAATTTTAGGCATCTACTTTGGATATTAGAATGTTTTCCCTCATAATAAAGAAAACTATTGTATTTGCCCTTCGGCTTTTCTATTTTATTGTGAAATCTTGAGCAAGTCATTCAAGTCTCTGAGCACTCACACATGAAAGAAAATAATACTCATTTACAATGTCATTTGGCATGAAGTAGGTTAAATGAATAAACAAAGTGTGAATGGATGAGTACACAATAGTGCTCAAAAATAAGACAATGTTTGCCATTTGTTTAGTATACTATTCATAAGATACATATAATAGATAATCTGTTTATGCTTTTTTTCTCTTATATGAAAAGTATGCAAGAAAGTGCAAATACTTTCCGCCCAAAGGACCTAAAATACTACCTTTGCTCACAATCTGGTTCTGAGCCTTCTGGGTGGCACCTTCATACAGTACCCCTTCCAAATTGTGGGTGAACTGTGACACGAGCAGCAAGAGCTGAATGATCCAATTATTCTTCCATTTAATTGACCTGAGCAAAGGTTATTGTCTGCTGCTATATGAAGTGTATGCATAACAGAGTACCGTGGAGTCTGACAGCAACGGGAGAGAGACAGAAACACAGAGTCAGAAACTATAACATTTCTTAACTTGGAAGATATGAGTGAAAATTTAGAAATCGGTTCCACATAAATCAAAAGGATTTAAAATCATAACCCAATCATACGTCACTGTGTAATAACTTGGTTGTCATATTTGGCTATCACAGTATTGATTCCTCTGAGTTTATTGAGTCACAAGAAGAAGTCAGAAGAGAATAATATGTCTTTGAATTTCAGGTTGCTTTTAATGCTTTTAAAAACCCAATGCTGAGTGATATAGCACTGGATGACATTAACCTAACATATGGAACTTGCAGTGAGAGTCTGTATCCAGAACCAACTTTGGTTCCAACTCCTCCACCAGAGCTTCCTAGTAAGTAAACTTAGTGTGTATTTTTCCTAAGTCATTATTTATGGGTTGCTCTTGCTTTGACTTGTTTTGTTTTCTTGGCCTAATATATTTTCACTAAAAATCAAACACTAAAATACAAGCAACATTGAAAAATAGTACATGTTACATAAGAATTTAACAAAAATCACTCATTTTGTTATGTGGAGTATTCATGATAATATTAATACTTTTTTCATATTTAGATTTGTGGAGTTTTTGTTCTGATTTTTAGAGACATAGCTAGCCATGCAACCCAGCATGTGCTCCAACTCATGGCTATCCTCATGCCTCAGCCTCCCACTGTTGGGATCTCACGAGTTTCCCACCATACCCAGCACTTCTTCATTTTTTAAAGTAATGGAAGTGCTGATTTCCATTGTGCTTACACTAAAATAGAAAATAATGTTATATTGTCCCTCAGGAATGGCCTGTAGTTGTTGGAGAATGTGCCATAAAGTCCTCATAATTTTTTAAGGAGGGATTTTAAGATTTCCAGAGGAATCCACTTAAGCCTGACACTCACTAATTTTATTTTTAGAATATTTTAATAATAATGATTGCATCTGTACTTTGAATATATAGAACAAGTGAACAGAAGATTTTTGTCTGGAAGTGGTGTCTTGGAAAATCTTTGTATTATTTTCCCCCATCAACCTATTCAAGTGTTGCAGCTGAGTACTGACAAAGATTCTTTGCCCTATAGGATCTTTTAACTGAAAAGAATAAAAAAGAAACCTATATTTTCTTGTGTTTTAAGCAGAACTAGAGCATGAAAGATCAGAAAAAACTCACTGTCATTCATTTTATCCTTATCAAAGGATATAATCCTTTCACACTATTTTCAAATGATGAGACAATATAGCAAAAATAAAGATACAGGTAATGATAAATCTTATCAAATACTCGGTCTTTGCATTGTAACATTCTCACTGAATTGTTATTTTCATGCCAAAACTTCCTCTGACTTTGAACTCTGGGGGTTAGAAGTTAGTGTGAGTCTGCATCTTTACTTGGATTGAGCTTTCTCAATGTTTTCTTTTGTCACAAATCTAAGCCAGGAAGCACAATCACTCCATTTTTCATTTTTCACAAACACCCTTGAAACATTAACACTTCCTTAATTATGGGGGTTTTTGTTTACAAGTCGTAAATTAAAAGGAAAAGGCAGATTAGAGATGAAAAGCTAAAGGCAAATGACCGGTGATTAAATACATGTAACAAATGAGCTATAACTATATTGGGGATACAATTAAATTGCCATCCTGGTCTCACACATGCTTACTACTAGTTTCCATTTGTAACTTGTATATTTAGATACTTATATAGGCTACACATGAATTCTGCAATATTTTAATATTCATTTAAGCTGTAAAAACACATGCTGTGAAACACACTGCAAAAGAAATTTAAGGTATATCAATAAACATTGATACATGAAAAATTAATACAATATATGAATAAAAATTTAAAACAGTTTTTGAGAGTGTTTAACAAGTATACCAGAAAAGGGATGAAGGATATAACTAGAGAAGGTTCTGAGGAAGCGTGCAGATAACAACAAAATGACATAAAACCACGAGCAAATGAGAGAAGTCCCATCTATTTCAATGTGATGATGTTGGCCTAGAAATTGCAACAAGAAGTGACTTTCTTGAAATGTAAGTTTTAGTCTAATTTACCTCTATCATTAGTGCCTGACAGTCTCTAATTTTCTGGTGAATATTATTAGGCATGAAATCAAGCTTTCATTATTTTTATATTCTTCTTTTATTCCTAAAAATATTTCTCTCAAACAAAAGTTAGGAACCAGAACATGAACACAATAATCTGAGCTTTATGGCATTTGAAAATAATTTTCTCAATCTATTCTGTGTAAGTGCTTTATGTAATGTTTATTTCAGAGAACATTTTTGTACAAAGTTACACATTCAAAGGCTTTAAAATATCGGTTTAATAAAAGAACAAGTACTAGCAATGTTTGATATTGCTATTATTTAAAACAGTAGCCTTTCTTCTTAATCCTTTTAGTCAATCTTTCCTTCTATTGATCAACTGAATGGATAAGAAAAGCTTTCTACATGTAAAGAATATATTTTCAAATGTATAACATTTAAAACATAGCAAAATCACATTACATAAACATAATATTTGAGATAACTTATTTACATATTATGCATTCAAATAAAATTTTAAGTATGGTTTCACATGTTAAATATTTATATATGGGCTGTGCATCTTCATATCTAAAAATATGAAGAAAGAATAAAAGATAACACCTCAGTGTCATGACAGCTCGATATCTTTGCATATTTTAACATTAGGAAAATTATAATGATAAAGTGACCCAGCTGATTTGAAAATACAAACTTAGAGAGTTTTCCCATAATGTGTTTGTTCCACTTTCCAAACGGCTTACTTTAAGGCAATATTGAACCCAGCAGAAAATGTTAATTACCATCAAATGCATTCTGAACAATTTTATTCTAATGCCATTTGTAATTGGTTCAGTGAAATTCTTATCTGAAAAAAGCTTTTCTAGTTCCAGATCATTGATTTGTTTAAGCAAAAATAAAAAGAAACCACGGTTGACCAACTAATAGCTTTTCTTTCACTCTTTATGGTACATTTAAATAAGAAAATAGTCCCATACCAGTAAATGAATATAATAAAATTCACTTTCCTCCTTGCCCCTAGGGATGCAAATTGTGCCTAGTTTGGGGAAATGTAAGTCCAGTTTTTATGATGGCAAAGTTTCTCCCACTTTGTGACTTTCCCCGTACTGCTGCTCCAACCTCTACCCTCCCCGCAACTGCATCTGTGGCAGTCATCGATTAATTTAAATGTGGACATTATGCGAAGAACATTTTAAGAAAGGAAGCATTCTGTTATACAAACATGATGCCAGTCTCCAAAGATATTCTGCTGATTCATTACGGGATGCATACATATACAATAGGTGTATACAAAAAGAAATTTGTATTTCTGGACCCCAAATTAAAGCTAAACAAGTTAACTTGAGTTTGCCTTGTAGAAATAAATCACTACCTAGCTCTCCCTGGTAACTGATGATGGTATTCAGCATATCATTCCTTGCTATTTATTTCACTTAGGAGATGAACTCTTACAAAATCTCATATTAAATTCACTCAAAGACTCCCATATGAATGCTTTAGCTATTTTACTTTTAAAATAAGTAGCCTACTTTTTACTGACATTGGGTATTTTTCTATTAAGATCAAATAAACCAACTAGGGAGGGCAATTTAAATTTATTTGTCATCCATTTGATATAAATACTCATTTGAAAGTATTTAAGAATTTTACCATGAGTTGTCACAACAACTTGTCAATGGAAATACAAATTTTGATAAACTGAAACCAAATATTCATGAAACCTAAATTTTTAAAATTCTAACTATAATAGTCAAAAGGATTTATAGCCTATTACTATGCTAATAAAAATAGTTTTTTAAAAAACTACTCTTAAAATAATTATCAGTTTGAGCTATCCTTTGTCAACTACATCTATTATTTCCCTCATAAGATTTATCAATGAAATACCTATTTTTGTTTGCAATTGTAGTCTTATTTATTATTAAACCCTAAACATCTTTAATTCAGATTCTCTTACTCTAAGTTGAAGTTAGGCTCTCCTTTCCACCCTACAGTAAATGTCTCCACATTGTCACATATGTCATGGAAATCAGAAGCTTAAGCATGAATTAAAAATGTCATGCCTCAAGGATATTATCTATCCTTTACAACTACTTTGCAAATACAGTGTGCTATTTATATTTTATGTGGAGTAAAAATCCCTAATGGCATAGTAAAAAATTAGTCAGGGTACAAATGTTTTGAAAATAGTTCCAAAAAATAAAAATGAAAGTTTTTAACATTATACATGCATGGATTTTCTACCCTAGATAGGCTACTTTACCTCATTCCCTGAGTGAGCTAACAATACAGCATGACTGTGATATCTGAAATTACATTTCATGATTCTTTGACTCCTTTACTAAGAGGTACAGGCTGTATCTCCATTGTAGTCACACCAACGTTAAAAACAATTCTGTCATGACATTTAGAATGGTTTAAAATACTTTTGTTAATTCTTTACGGTCATTTATATGCAGAGTGTAACTGAAATTTCTTAACCAAGCAAGAATCAAAGATATCTTAGAGGTCAGCCAGTTGATACGAAACCATAATTCAAGTACATCTCAGTATGTTAAAGGAATGAATTTCCCAAGATTTCTGTTTAAAGGAAAAAAGCTAAGTAAATTGCCTGTCTAACAGGCTTAACAATTCCATTTGACAATCTTTTGCTCTGGTTGTGAGTTCATTAAAATTCTACCTATTCATCTTTAACTTATAACGTAATCTCCTGTTAACGTTTGGTTATATGAAAATTCAATGCATTTTCAAAAGGTCAAGTCTTTGCTATATTAGTTGTATACAACTTTGAAATATTCCTTTTCCTTAACTAGAAATAACGATAATTATATTTCTCTGTCCCTGTCTCTCTCTGTCTCTCTCTCTGTCTCTCTCTCTCTGTCTCTCTCTCTCTGTCTCTCTCTCTCTCTCTCTCTCTGTCTCTCTCTCTCTCTCACACACACACACACACACACAGACACACAGACACACACACAGACACACACACACACACACACACACACACACACACACACACAAGTTCACACTGACCACACTGGTCAAGTTGGCTTTTCCTGTCTTCAATCTGAAATCTCATCTTTGGCCTATAGTTACAGTCCTCCTCCCCCATTGGTCTCATTGAGGACTGACTTATGCATGTAAATTGAGAATTATTAAAATTAAATGAATTATGTACATGTAGGCAATATAGAATTTTAACAGATCCTTTAGAAATCAAACAATTAGAAGATCATTTGTTTCAAGTGAAGAACCTACTCTGCATCCGTTCTCATTCCTATTCGTCTTTTTATTTAAACCCCTTCATCAGCATTCCAAGTACATTACTTTCTTCTTTTTTTTTTTTTTTTTTTTTGTCTTTTTCCTTTTTATCGGTACCAGGGATCAAACTCACGACTGCCTGCTTGCAAGGCAGGCGCTTATGCCGCTGAGCTAAATCTCCAGCCCCCATTACTTTCTTCTTTCCAGATCTGTCCTTCATGGACCTTCCTTTTCAGTGCTCTTCTACTCTCTTTCTCTTTGTCACATAACTATCAAATCCACTTATTGAAACTTTACACTTCCATGGCTTGGAGCAGCTGGTGGAAATTATTCAGAGTTTAACAAGATCAATGGGAGATATTAAGGTACAGTGCAATGAGCTTGAAATCAACTGGGCGAGGTATTGACCTGTGATACTAGGTGTATGTGTATGACATAAAGAGGTAACTGAATGGCTTCAAATTCCAGACTGTCCATTTGAAACTAAAATACAATAAGTATTTAATCCACGGATGTTTTGAAAACCAGTGTTTCTAGTAAATCGCTAGGCACTTTTCAAAACTTATTTCTATTTAAAACTCAAAAATTCCTTAATATAGAACTATTTTACATTTGGGACAAAAGCCTTAAATGAGCCAGGAGCTTAGAACACAATTTTAATCCAGGAGCTGTAATGCATCTTCCTATGCACCGTGTACACTCTTTTCATATAACTATCAAATCCCACTTACGGAAACTTCACATCTCCATGTCTTGGACACTATGTTCTCTTCTTAGATGTAAACATATGCATAGAATTTCAGAAGCCAATAATATTTTGTGAGAGTTTTTATTACTTTTGTAATATTCCCCATATCTGGATAAGCCTAAGAAAAGCACATGAGATAAGACCATATCTTATAACTTTATAGAACAGGACCATTTGACAGCAGTATTATGTTTTGGAGTATAGAAATAGCCTGTCTTCTTCCTATCATATATACATCACCAAATACAAATATAAGTGCCTTGCTACATGTAAATTTAAAAGATGCACATGAATTTCAAAGGATCTAAATCAATAACGGATGATAACAAACAAAATCAAAGAAATGTATGATGGAAGACACTGCCATTTATGAGATACATTTTTCACAATCTGGCTTCTAGTTTACTGAGAGTAAATTTCCATACCATTTGCATTTCAAAAATATTTCAAATTACATTACTTTTATTCTTTTTATATTATTTCTAAATGCAATGGCAATAAGAATTAGAACTGGGACCCAGTAGTTCAATTTTTATATTACTTAGAATTTGGTTCTACTAATAAAACATATTAAGAATATCATAAAGTTAATCTGGCTAAAGTGTTATATTCTGACCTGGAAGATCTACATTTCTATTTTCTCTAATACATTTGAAGTACATTCCAAGAGTACCAACTTGACTCTCAAAAATATTGTAACATCTGCTCAGGGGAACTGGTAAGCAAGAGGAGTGTGAAATCCTCCATATGCAGCTCTGAAAAGTTTTTCTCCACATTTATACAAAAGCAAGAAATACAGAATTTGTGTTTTAGTAGTCTTTCTCCTAAAAGAGTGGCAGGTAAAGGATTATTTCTACTAGAAATATTCTTGTTTTTCTATTGTAGGGATTCAATAACTTATTTCATAAAACCTACTTATGAAAGAGATGTGACAAAAAGTTTTTCCTTACTCAAATAATTTTGGGAAAAGGTGTACATTATTATGTTATCTTGGGGACTCACAGAAGCAGTAAGAATGGAAAGAGGTTCATATTTTTCTCTAAATTCTATTACAAAATTTTCATTTCCAGAAACCCTAAAATTTATGTGTCAAAGTTAGTATCCTAAGAAATATAATTATTAATTCCTAATATTGTGTTTGAAATAAATATTGTATCCCTAAGGATTTTTTAAATTGTTTTCTTTTGCAGCAGACTGTGGAGGACCTTTTGAATTATGGGAGCCAAATACAACCTTCAGTTCTCCAGGCTTTCCAAACAGCTATCCTAATCAGGCTTTCTGTAAGAGTCATTTCTTTTGTGGGACACCTATACTGAGCTCACATCCTCCCTTTACACAGCAAAGTTAATTTGTCAAACATGGACACACCCCGCATTTATTGCCTCTGACATTGCTTAACAGAATAACAAGAATTAAAATAGCAACTGCAAAATTTTATTTATTTCATGCCAGTGGTAATGCTTAATATTCATTTTTTAGCCAATTCTTTCAATAACATTTTAAAGCAGTAGTCATTACTATTATTCATATTGTTAAAGTAGTTACTGGAAGTTTTAAGAAAAACCAAAAGAAGTTTATTGTAATTTAAGTGTTGCCTTTATTTTAAGATGTTTGGGATGTAAATGCACAAAAGGGGAAATTATACAATTTAATTTTTAAAACTAAATTTTGCATTTTATCACTTATAAGGTGTTTGGATTTTAAACGCACAAGAGGGAAAAAATATACAACTTCATTTTCAAGACTTTGACTTGGAAAATACTGCAGATGTAGTTGAAATCAGAGATGGAGGAGAAGATGATTCCTTGTTCTTAAGTAAGTCCTCAAAGTGAATATTATGAACATTGCTTGAAGCTTTGGACTGACAGACAAAGTATATCACAACAAACAATCATATTTACAACTGACAAAGTAAACAGATGGTAGGATAACGTGTTGATTTTTATGTTGAATTTTCCATATGGGGCTCAATTGCATTGTTAACATAATAACTTTTATCGTCAGCATTCTCAACAAACCAGATTTAACATTTTTAAGTCATTAGTTCTTAGCAGCTAGTATCTTTAAAACTTGCAGTCCAAAAGTTAAGGACTTCTATTACCGTAAACTCTGGCTAAATGTCCTTGCAATCAGGATACAATCACACGAACACTGAAAGCAATAGATGAAGATGCCCTAGAAATCTTTCTCTTACACATTAAGAAGCACAGAAGTCAAGAGGATTCCCTGGTCACATAATTCATCTTCCCCCAGGCAGAATTTTCCAGCAAACCCAACAAAATGCAAGGGTGTATTCTATTTTGAAGAGGATTTTGACAGACACACACACAGAATAAATACAGTAAGGTGTCTCAGTAGTCATAGGATTCTAGAAACACTGAGAAACTTCAAATTTGATTTTCATGTATACGTTTATAAATACAAGTTTTTCCATTTTCAGTTTAAATCATCTTTTTAATAAAAGCTCCAGTGAACTTCTAAGAAAAATAAAATGTGTCATTTCACCTCTTACTAATCACATAAATCACTGAAAAGCAAGTAAAACTTTCAGAAGCACTGCAGTTTCAGTTCTCAAATTCATAGATTAAAGCTTCTTTTGAGATCGAATTTTTTTAGGGTTTCTGAAACATGAAACCATTAAGAAGATGAATGTATTTTTTAATGTTCTGAAGCATTGTTGAGTAGAGCATGTTTATGAAAGCCCCAAAATCAAAGGATTGTCAGGAAACAGTTTGAAAAGCACCATTTAGGTTTATATTATCTGTCTCCAATTCATTCTTCAAATTTGTATGTATGATTCAACTTCAAAAACTATGAAATTATTTTGGACAGAAATTTGCTAAAGGGGACTATAACCTTTGTTGCTTGATAACCACTTTGCTCTAAGGAGGCAAATATCTGTTAAGCCAGATAATATTAGGAGGAATTTATAACTAAGTTTCAGAATACAGAACTTCAAGTAATATTTAAAAACTGAATACAGAAGCCAGCTTCACAGAAGCAGTGTTGAAAGATACATAAAATGGTCTACACAGGAGTGACGTGTAGCACCTTCATGAATGAGCCACACGGCATGTATTATTTCATCTAAAAGACAGATGGAAATAAAGGGTGTGTTTTGGTTTCAAAGAAATCATTGATATTCTCGATTTCCTCTGAAACAGCTGTGTATACAGGACCTGGTCCAATGAAGGATGTGTTCTCTACCACCAACAAAATGACTGTACTTTTCATCACTGATAAATCAATGACAGGAAGGGGATTTAAAGCCAACTTTACTACTGGTTATCACTTGGGAATTCCAGGTAAGAAGAACTATACATCGCATCATAACTTTTGGAGCAAATTAAGAAAATACAAAAATACACAAGAATCAAGCTTATATAATAATTTTGATGTTTACATCCTATGTATTTATATTTCTTCATTAGTATATGTACCCCGAAAGGAGCACCATACTTCTCTATCTTAAAGATTTTCTTAGCCAGACAAGGTGATGCACTCTTGTAATCCCAGCACTCAGGAGACTGAGATAGGAGGATCATCGCAAGCCTGAGAGCAGTCTGGGCTATGAAGTGAGTTCAAGGCCAGCCTGAACTGCATAGCAAAATTCTGTCTCAAAAAGACAAAAAAAAAAAAAAAAAAGCTTGTCTTCATTCCTTTCTATTTCTATAAACATTACCTGTGTCTGTTTAAAGTAGGAATCCAAAATATTTTCTGAAAATCTATTTGTGTTTCTTTGCTGTGTAAGGAGCACTAAAGAAAGCCAAGTTACAAATTAAAAGGAGAGTTAACTGGCCCTGTTCAGAAGAACTATATCATGCTCTCTTTGTCAGGATCACATGCCAAGAATAACAGGGAGACAGACATATGAGCTGCTGCAATGCAACCAAATTTAACTTAAAAAACTAAACAGCATTATCTTAATAGAGACAAGTGCAAAGTGTGTGTGTGTGTGTGTGTGGGTGTGTATATATATATACACACCCACACACACACACACACACACACACTCATATATGTAAGCATATATATATAATTACATTCAGTGTATGTGTACAGGTACGTGCACACGAATGGAAGTAAAGACATATAGATATAGTTACATATATTTATGTGTATGTAAAAATGTAAAAATATGATGTAACTCTTTGTATTCAATAATCTATAAATTTTATAACTAGATCTACTAAGGCTGTGATTTTCTTTATACTACTGCCCTGTATCTCAGCGCCCCGGTCCAGTACAGATACATCAGAAAGACAAAACATTCCCTCCTTTATCTGACTTTTCTTTCTCAGAACACTAGTCTCCATCTCTCACCAGAATACACGTCTAGAAAAAGAGAAAGGTTTGAATGTCTTGTTCTCATGTAACCTAAGCCTTACTGGACAACTGAATTTTGTTTGTATGTATTCTTCCACTCACAACAGTCTAGATATTTTCCCCACCCAGAAAACTGTTTGTTGACTTAAGAAGTTGACCTTTGGGTCACTTCTGGCCCTGAAAATCAGTGGCAACATTGGTTATCAAAGCTGCTTAGGTGGGAATGAGTTGCAATCCAATCAAATAATCTTATGTGGGTTTTGTGTACAGGTTGTTTTGACTTAAAAATAATGATGACATAAATCAATTTAAATAATTGATTAGTGAAATAAAAATACTAAGACTTATGGAAAAACATACAATATAAAAGAAAGACTGAGATTTATAGGAAATTAAAATCTTAAAGTCCATGAAAACTAAATGGTGTTGCTAATTATTAAAGAAGAAAATACATTCACATGAAAATATCATTAAGCAAGTATATGTCTACATTTTCATATACATATACATACTTATATATTAACTCTTAAGAATTTAAAAGTAAACTAACTCAGTACTTTGAAAATAATGATCAAGATAATTGTGTCAGTGATATTTTAAAATTAGTCAGTAAACCTGTCCCTTTACAATTTTGTTACTGACGATTCTGCTATGATTAATTTGTTTATTTGTCAATATTTTATGTAGTTTAATTTGCTTTTATCTTTCAAATGTGCTCACTACTTTCATTTAAATTTAAATCAATATTCAGTTTTACTGACATTAATCATTTGGTTTTCCTGAGGATTACAGTGGAAGTAGATCTAGGTGAGGACATAAAAGAGGAAATTTTAGTAGTTAGTGCTTTTAAGAAACAACATACTTTGGATTGTTTAACAAAACCTAATTTGTTCTATTTTACAAAAAAATAAATTACATAGTAAAAAGTTTGAGTAACATAAAAGCTAAATTATTTTATTATTTCTTTATTAGTAAAATCATGATTCTGTCTTTTAATATGTATTTTTTTAGCTCCTGATAGAGAAGGCCTTGCTTAGCATCTCTTACCATAAGTGACCTGACAGTGCCAAAAATACCTATCATACCAAAAATTTGGAAAACAGAGCCATTTTTGATCAGAGAAATTCCTCTGTCACAAAAAGACTAATTTTTCTGGTATGAATAGAGGTGTTTGTTAATAATGCAAGCCATATAATTTTCTGGACAACCATGTAACAATTCAAAAACTCTGGTTCCAAAAATTTCTACAAAATTTCTCCAACAAATACAAAGAAAAAGGCAAAAAGTAATAAAGAAATGAAAAAAAATACGAAAATCTCTCCTGAGCGTGCAGGAAAGAACAGCAAACTACTCTATGGAAAAGATCTATGCAAAGGAAAAATAAAAACTAAAAGGGAATGGTTTAGTTAGGAAAACTACTTTCTGGGTCTCATTAAAATTACTAGAAAAATGATTAAATTTTGCAATGTTTTGTGAAAGCATTACTAAATAGGATTCAGTGTATAACATTTTCTACTTAAGGTTTTAAATTTCAAGGACATTTTTTGCAGATTTCTAAGTCGAATTAATAAATTATCTTTCAGAAACATATAAAATTGAATTAACTTTGAATTTAATTTTGAGAGCTTAACAACCGTAATAGTTCTAAGCTCTGTAAGAGATATTGCTGCATTAAAAATATACAAATATCAATATCATCTATTTGAATGTAGTAGAATTAAATGCTTAGTTCTGCAAAGCAACATACAATAAAGCAAGCAAATATGTGGTATCTATTTTACTGGAAGAGCTGTCCTTCCAGTCTTTTTCAAGAAGATTGTCATGGAAGGAACTTTTTAAAGGAAGTATTTTTTAAAATGGAGATGAATAATAAAACTGACAGAAGCAATTGAGATAAAAACTATGCTCTAACTAATATAGAGTAGAATTATTCATATATTCAAGCAACTTAAATAATTACAGGGAACTCTGTGAAAGCATTTTGAAACAAAACTTTAGTAAAGAAATAAGAGCTTAAATTTATATTTTAAAATGCAAATGAGAAAGGAGGAAAAAATGAAACAGAAGAATAGATTGTGAAAAGGAAGACAGAAACATTTCTCTTTGAAAGTGGGGTGGATATTATTTTTATCAAATTATTTTTAAAAATGAATACAATATTAAAGACAATGAAAAATAATACAAATAATTTCTATTCAAGATAATAACCAAAATTGAATAATCTCTTGATATCAACTGCAAAGAGATGATGTGGTTCTTTAATTTACCTTATATCTCACCTTCATTATTATTATTTTATTTATGAAACAATTTATCTTTAAGAAAAATGTTTTTTGAGTGGTGCTAGAATGGAATCTTCCAGACCATCACTGTCTGATGACCATGTTGGAAGTGTGGTTTTACAATGTCCCGCAGCGGGGAGAGACACTGCCGGGGAGTGGGAAATAAGGTGCCGGCATTGTCATCAGCAGTTTTGTTTGTTTTTTTTTTTTTTTCCATTGAGATTTCTTGACTCCTCCTCAAATTGAAATGCAATGATAGAAATAAGAACTTGGCAGTGGAAGGTAATCAAGCTGGCAATGAGCAGACAGATTGGGCACATGTGGCTTTATACGATGATGTTCTGGTTTGGAGACCATTTTAGAAAAAAAATGTATCATAATTTATTTGCAGTATGTATGTGCATTATTGTTTTCCAAATTATTTTAGGGCCACATTTGAAGACATTCAACTGAAATATAACATAATTATATTTTTGTATATCTTTTAACTTTGTTAAACATTTCCATTACATTAGTGTATATAAATACTAGATTTATTAACAAAAGTCTCCTATCGCAATGGCAAACAGAAACACTGACAGCACCCAGGATTGAAGGCAGATTTATTTACCTCAACAGGCTCTGACTGGGATCATTCCCAGAATATCAGGCCCTACTGTCTGGTGGTTGAAGGTTTATGTTAGGTAAGCAAACAGGAAAGTACAGAGGCACAATAGCTTGTCAACTGAGGATTATACAACGTACATAATAGTCAACATCTGTGCATCACAGTGAGCAGCCATTTCTAAGTGACCAGAAACAAGTGGAACTGGGCTAGGAACTACTACCTGGGCAATTGAAACTGAAGTACATTGGCTGGGGAACATTTTCTGCTCCATTGCCCCCCTCTTTTAGTTTCCCAGGCAAATCTCTGCTGGGCATGTTGCATGTGATCTTCTGAGACAAGACCCAACTAGAAGTTAGGTTTGTCTGTAACATTACTCCTGCAAGGCAATAAGGGATTTAATTTGACATAGTAAAGTATCTAAAGTGCACTGGTCATTCATTAAATCCTGTCAAATGCTTGGCTGATTGTTCTAGTCTCTTGAGGCAACTGTCCATAGAATATAAGGCAAAAAACAGAGCTAGCAGGGAGTGGAGAAGCAAGGACTGGGATAGGCAGAATCTAGGTTAGCGAGCAGGGAGCAGGAAAGCAAGGACTAGGGTAAGCAGCCTGAAAAGACACAACAATTAAGGAGAACAGATATGGATCAATTCTGTGAATGATGTCTTCAGGACTCAGCTTTGTGTGGACTGGTCAGCATGCATTTTCTCCTCAAAGTGAACCTCAGAGGAGCTGTCCAGGTAAATTTTTCAGAAATCTAAGGCTAGATTTCTGAATCTGGTAGAGGCAGTTACTATATGTCTGGGTTATATGTATATGCAGAAATGTCTACAGCTATACCTGGCCTTTTAACTTAATGCAAACTGCACTTAGTTTTTATTTAGTCTAATTTTTGAATTACCTCTGCTACAAATGCAGGCCTGTAGTTGCTGCCAATGATCATATAAGTATGAAGGACACTATAGACTTTTATTGTCCTTTCAGTATGAGTAGAAAATGAGAAATTGGGACTGGTGACACAGATGCTGAAGCTTGAGCTGCCTGCAGGAGTAGGGGTGCCAGCCTAGCATCTTGAGCTTGCAGGACATATGGC